GTACTGGTCAGAGGACTGAGCCGCTGTCCTTGTTACTACCACTAACCAGACTTTGTAGAGCATTTTTGTTCCATAATCAGCACCAAAAACAGAATTTCTTTTCCATCTTCTAAGTATCAAGTCAAACACGCTTTTTCGTGCGGCACATGATCCCCCCACCAGAAGTCCCGGTAGGCTGTGCCATTGTTACCCTTGCCCCGCAGTCTATACCACGGGAGACCCTCTGGAGTGGGGGCCGCTACCTCCCTGGGCACCTCGGTCAGCCCTGCCCTTGGCTTTCCATCCTCCCTTATCTGGCTCTCCCGCTCAGCCTGTGCCTCCCCGCCCCCACTGCCCATCTCTCTGTGCCTGCCCCCCCCCCGCCCCCGGTGTCTCCTCGTCACTGCCCATCTCTGGGTCGGGAGCCCTTCTGGCCTCACCGTCTCCTCCCCGCAGTGAGCGGGGCGCACAGCCCAGCCTCTGGGTCCTGAACCGCTGGAGCCAATAGCAGGTGAAAGGGTAGAGTCAACAACGTGGCCTTCGGCCTCGGCATCACCCTTTCCTGTTTTGGAAAAACCACTGCCCCTTCTTGGGCCTCAGTTTCCATCCTTGTGAAGTGGGATATGAGGCCCTCTCCTCCTGGCCTCTTGGAGCAATCTTGACGGTCCCAGGTTTCAGTCACGGCTTTGTGATCTTTCTGATGTGTGTCAGGGATCTTTGCGATGTGTGTCGGGTCGGGGGGGTGGTTGTGATTTCTCTGAGGCTGAAGATTAAAGAGCCTGTATGGTGGGTTTTCTCCCTCCCTCATTCATTTGGCAAGTACATACTCAGTACTCAGTACGTACAGATGCCTCTCTGCGTGCTAGGGAAGCAGGAATGATCCCTCCCTCGTGGAGGTTACATTCTAGGGAGCCAAACAGACAAAACACGGACAAATTGACAAGTTAAATGACTGTACATTAGAATGATGTGTGAAGGGAACAGTGTGGGGCTAAGACAGAAATTACATTAGCTCAACCAGGGAATGCCTCTGACAACCAAGACCCATGCTGTGAAGAAAAGCATTTCTGGTAGAGGAAATAGCAAGTGCAAAGGCCCTGAGGCAGTAGAGAGGTTGGCCTGTTTGCAGAGCAGGAGGAAGCCAGTGTAGCTGAGGCAGACGGGGGAGGGGGAGGCTGGCACGAGATGGGGTCAGGTCAAGCAGGGCCCTATAAGCCTGGAGAGAATTTGGGTTTCGTGTGGCCTGGAAGGCGAAGCCTCTGGAAGGTTTCAGGAAGAACTGTGGCAGCCTCTGATTTGCATGGGTAAAGACTCACTCTGGCTCTGGGTTGCTCTGGGAGCCCTGTCATGGCCCAGTGCTTAGCTGGGCATGAGGTGATGGCGGTCTGGCTGGGCCAAGGCAGCGGAAGGCAGATGATGAGGACATTGCTCACTGCATCTTGAGTGGAATCTAGAAAGAGGTGGGGTAAGAGGGTGGGCGGTGAAAGAAAGAGAGAGGGACAGGATGACGGGTTCTTCGGTTTCTGGCCAAGACCATAATGTTCTAGATCTGGGGTTCAGCACCAGAGGCTCCAAATCCTGTCCTGTCCCCCCCGAAGGGCAAGATGTGTGGGGAGCTGGGGCCACTAGACCCTGTGGGGGCTGAAGCCTGTGTCCGGTTCATCCAGTGCCCTCCGTCTCAGGGCGCTCCGGGGAAGCTTGTGAAATGAACGAACGGGAATTCCCGAGCCCTGTCTTCTCTTCGCCTCCGTCGACCCATCTGTAAAAGCGACTCCTGGTTTAGTGTTATCCCCGGCTCCCAGCTCCTCCCCTGGGGATCTGGTCACTCTAGAAGGCCTGTGCCCATCTGGGCCGAGAAGCGGGACCGTCTGCGAGCAGGCCCTGCCTGGCTCTCCGTGCCCCCTGTGCAGCCCGTAACCTCAAATTACCTGTGGGGCGGGTGCCGCATCAAGGAGGCTTCCTGTTGGCCCAGATGCGCATGGCAGGCCCAGCCCTCCCTTAATGACACCTTGCCCGCCTGCCCTCTTGCTGGAGTAGGAGGGGAGGGGGCCCGGCCCAGCATAAGCTGTGATTTCTTTTTCCGTTGCGTCAGGCCTCAGGGTCCGGCCCGCCTGCCCGCTGCCGGGCTGGCACGGAGGGGCCCGCTCTGACCCTCGCCTGCCCCAACCCCGACATCATGTGCTCCCCATTTCGGGGATCCAGAAGCTTCCAGCCAGAGGGTGAGTTGGGCTCGCTCACTCGAGCTGGGGCCTGGCAGCCAGACGGGGTAGAGATGCGGGAGATTCCGAGGGGCTCGGCCCAGCCGGACACCCCTCCCCGCCCCTGTGACCTGGCCCTCCCGGCCATGCCCTCAGCCAGGCTGGAGCCAGTGTGGGGCAGGAGGACAGCGCGGGGACACTGGAGTGACGACAGTGGCTCAGACTGGGGGAGGGCAGGGGAGAAGGGGCCCCCCACCCGGTGTCCATATGCGTACATGCCTTTGCCTGTGTTAGTCTGGAGCCTGTGTACATGTGTGTGACTGTACACGTGTGCGTACGTGCGGCAGGAAGTGTGGCAGCCTGGGCGTGCGTACCTGACACCCCTCAGGATGAAAATAGCTGCCTCCGACTTGGCAGCAGGGGACAGGTGGCCCTCATGGGGCCATCTAGCGTGTCATGAAGGGGGCCCGTGAGGGGCAGAGGAGGCGGGTAAACTGGAACCCACCTCATCAGTGATGACCCCAGAGGTGTGGACAGTGCCACCCCCAAGGCACTGGGGTTCCCTTTGCCTGGCCGACGGCCCTTGGTCCCCACCCAGGTCCTGGTTTGTCACCATGCCCGGCAGCACCCCCACTCTGGCCAGAAGGACACAGATTGGCCTGGGGAGGCCAGAGACCCAGCTTATACCCTGCCTCTGCGGTTACCTGGCCGGGAGACCTTGGGCAGGTGACTTAGCACTCTCTGGGCCTCAGTTTCCTCATCTGTAAAATGGGGGTGACTGTTGTGACCCACCCCACCTCAGGGCGGTTGTGAGCACACACAGGCATTCTCTCAGCCACCTGCCAAGGTGTCCCTTTTGGACACCCCTATCCCCTCCGCCCTCCTGACTGGGTGGAGGCTTTGCTCGCCCCTCCCCCACGGAGGGCCACCCAGCTGCACACAGGGAGCGTGAATGAGGTGCTCCAGCCCCTCCGGTGGAAACTAATTTTTACACGACAAGAATAAATCCTGCGGGCAAATTGCAGTGCTGCCCTGATGCTCGGGGCTCACGTGATTATGACGAGGTTGTAGGGACAGACGAGGGGGGTGGCGGGTTGGTGGCTGAGGACTGGCTCTGTCACTGTCCAGATCCTCTCTGGCACGCCCAGGTCTCGCTGTGTCCGGAGAGGGGCCTCTGGTGCCAGCCCCACGCTAGCCGGGGCCTCCTGTAGCCTGGGGCATGTCTGCCCAGCCCGAGGCTGGCGCTCAGGCAGCGAGCTGGGCTGGGGTCGGGGGGGGGGGGCAGCATTGCTGCCGTGCCTCGTGCCTCGGTCCCTCCTCCCTGGATGACAGCCGCCTCCTCGCCATCTTCCCTGCTGCCTCTCCTAGCCTAACAGCCCCTTCTCCCCACAGGGGCTGGAGTCAGCTTTTCAAAACACCAATCAGATCATGTCACCTCTCTGCTTAAAACCCTCCAAGACTTCCATCACTCAGAATAAAGCCCCCAGGCCCTGGCCACTCCTCCCCCCCCCCACGCCCCCGAGCTGTCAGCCAGGCTGTGATCGGGCAGCCTTCTTACTGCAGGATCCCAGTCCCGGCTTGATTCTTGGGACCTAGTAGATGCCCAGTAAACGCTCTAGAGTGAATGAATGGGCCTCAGTGTCCTTGTCTGGAAAACGGGGTATAATTAATCCCTGCCCCACAAGACTGAATGAGAATTAGAGACATCGTGCAGATCATGTGCCCAGCTCGGTGTCAGCACTGACTACGAGTAAGTAAGTTGGGTTCATGTCCCCAGAGGGAATGCTCTCCTCTTACCCCCTTCTGGGGCGGTACAGGGCCGGTTGCCCACTCAACAGGGAAGGGCTGAAATATTAGTCAAGGAGCCGGAACCTGGCCTCATCCACACGGTGTCGGGGCTTGTGTTAACTACAAGCCAGTGGAATAGACCCAACTGCAGGAGTTTGGGAAGGGCTATATCTTGATGTCTCATGGGCAGATGTGGAAACTGAGGCACAGAGAGCCGGATGGCTTGTCCGCAGGGCCTTGTTATGGGCGGAACCCAGAGCTCCCCTCCACTCCCAGAGATGGGTTTCTCTTCACTTGCTCCAAATGAACACCTTGCTGGAAAACAGAACTGCTTAACGTAAGCAAATGCCAGTAATTAGCCGTGACAGCGGAAGGGGTACCTAAGGCCCGGGGCATGGAATCTGGGGAAGTCAGGTACAAGTGGAAGAGTTCTAATTCTATACTGGGAGTAATGACCCGCTCGGGCAGGATCTGAGCCATGTGGAGGCTTTGTCCTTTCACTTGAGTGAACAAGCACACACCAAGTACCTCCTTGGGCCTCAGTTCCTGTGCGTAGGCCCAGGGTACAAGATGAATGAGATTGCAATGAACAAAGTCAAGCTTTGGGTAAGTTATCAGAAGTGAGCTTCCTAGTGGCCAAAGCAACGAGGGAAACCCGAGCAATCACAAGCCCCACTGTAGCCCCAAGATGCCAAACTGCTGATTGCTCCGGAGAAGCCCGAGTGCTCCCGGGAAAATGAATGTTTCAGATGCCCATGTCCACTGTGACCCGTCACTGATCAGGCAGGGGCAGCTTGGACTTGCGTGTGTGATGATTGACCAACACAGAAAATAACTTCAAACTGCACGTGCTACCAAGGACTTGTTCTTCATTCTCCTTCGGGCAAGCTTCTGCTTGTGGTGCCCCAGTGTGTGCTCACCTTTCCTTCCCTCTCTCTGCCCACATCCCGAAGGGGCAGGTGATGACACCTCCTCGGGTGGGCTGGGACAGCGGCTGCTGTGCCCTCTCTGACCCCCCCTCTTCTATGCCCCTAGACTGTCAGGAGCTGCTGCCACCGCCCCCGACCCCCATGGCCTACACCCCTGGCGGGGGCGCCCCAGCAGCGGGGGTGGCCCCCATGGGCTCTCAGTACTGCGTGTGCAAGGTGGAGCTGTCAGTGAGTGGCCAGAACCTGCTGGACCGGGACGTCACCTCCAAGTCCGACCCCTTCTGTGTCCTCTTTACAGAGAACGATGGCAGGTGGATGGAGGTGAGGCCCCTCCATGTGCATCTGGGTGGGCGGAGGGTAGCCGGGTTGCCAGGAGGGGGTCCCCCTGGATCCTGGGGCCTCCAGGTTAGACCCTTGGAGGTCACTGGAGGATGGGCTAGGGATTACTTCTTGCTTTTAAAATTAAATTTCAGGGGCCCCTGGGTGGCTCAGTCACTAGAGCATGCTATTTTTGATCTCAGGGTTGTGAATTCAAGGACCATGTTGGGCGAGGGGCCTACTTTTATTTTTTTTTTTATTTTTTTTAAATGTTTTATTTATTTTTAGGAGAGAGAGAGAGACAGCGTGAGCAGGGGAGGGTCAGAGAGAGAGGGAGTCACAGACTGAAACAGGCTCCAGGCTCTGAGCTGGCAGTCAGCACAGAGCCCGACGCGGGGCTCGAACCCATGAACCGCGAGATCATGACCTAAGCGAAAGTCGGACGCTTAACCGACTAAGCCACCCAGGTGCCCCAAGGGGCCTACTTTTAAAAAAATAAATTTGGGGGCGCCTGGGTGGCTCAGTCGGTTGAGCGTCCAACTTCGGCTCAGGTCATGATCTCACGGTTCATGGGTTCGAGCCCCACGTCGGGCTCTGTGCTGACAGCTCAGAACCTGGAGCCTGCTTCAGATTTTGTGTCTCCCTATTTCTCTGACCCTCCCCTGCTCATGCTGTCTGTGTCGTCTCTCAAAAAAATAAATAAAACATTAAGAAAAAAGTTTTTAATAAATTTTATTTAAATTGTATTTATATCATTACTTAAGGAGCACCTGGGTGGCCCAGTCAAGTGTCTGACTCTTGATTTAGACTCAGGTCATGATCTTGCAGTTCATGAGATTGAGTCCCGCATTGGGTTCTGTGCTGACAGTGCGGAGCCCGCTTAGGATTCTCTCTCTCTCCCTCTCTCTCTGCACCTCTCCTGCCTGCGTTCTGTCTCTCTCAAAATAAATAAACATTTTTAAAAGTTGTATTTATAGTATTATTTAAAATAATTATATTTGTGTTTAAGATATTATAATTCATAGATTTATATTCATAATTACATTGTTTCATATCATATTTTCTTTTTAAAATATTTTTTAAGTTTATTTATTTATTTTGAGAGAGAGAGAAAGAGAGAGCACATGAGCAGGGAAGGGGGAGAGAGAGGGAGAGAGAGAGAGCCCCAAGCTGGCTCTGTACTGTCAGCCTGGAGCCCAATACAGGGCTTGAACTCATGAACCATGAAATCATGACCTGAGCCAGGGTCTCATGATCAACTAACTGAGCCACCCAGGTGCCCCCCATATCATAATATTTAAAATTACTATAATATATAGTTAAAACCTTAGGGTTTTACAAAATGCTTCAATTTTAAAAATAACTTTCCACATTTTTTTAACTTTATTTATTTTGAAATAGAGAGTACATGGACATTAGCGGGGTGAGGGACAGAGAGAGAGAGGTAGAGAGAGAATCCCAAGCAGGCTCCACAATGTCAGTGCAGAGCCAGACACAGGGCTTGAACTCAAGAACTATGTGATCCATGACCTGAACTGAAGAGTCAGACACTTAACCGACTGAGCCTCCCAGGTGCCCCCCCCCCCATGTTTATTCCTAAATGAACACCTAGTCAGTGAGGAGCAAACAAAGAAATGGGGAACTCAGTCTTTGGTCCCAGAGCTGGGCCAAGACCCAGGTCTGTCACTCCCAGCTGTGTGGCCTTGGGCAAGTGGCTGTCCCTCTCTGGGCCTGACTCCTCATCTGTGAAATGAGGCTATTTTCCCCCACTGCCTACCTGGCAGAGAGCCAGACCTGGGGCTGTGGATGGTACCAAGGACCTCTGAGCGGGAAGACTTCGGCCTGGGGGCTGATTGGAGATGCAGCTTGAGGAAGGATATTGAGAAACCCAAAACTTTCAAGTTTTAAAAGTTGCTTTGTTTTTATTTCAAAAGGGGCCTGGGTTCATTTTAGTAAATTTAGAAAACACAGATAGCCCCAAAGAAAATAATCAGAATGGTGAGAAACCTGTGTGTCAGAGAGAGAAGCACTGTTAAAGGTGTCCGGCCTTTAAGATAGTTTTATATGCATGTAAAATTTCCAAAATACGGATCTATTTTTAATAGCTACCCAACTGAGCCACAGTGGGCATCCTGATTAACGTACTATGATTTACAAAGAGTTTCCACAGATGTTAGATCCTTCTTATGATGCCAAGGAAATGGTGCTGAGATTGTTGACCCATTTTGCAGACGGAACACTGGGCCCTAGAGTGGGTAGGGGCCCCTCTGTGTCACCCAGTGCGTTGGTGGTAACAGCCGGAAGCGGGAGGGAAAACAGGAGGTCATCTGAGGACTGAAGCCAGCATGTCTGGAACACCCTGTCCCCCTCTGCCGGGTCTCTGGGACCCCCGCCTCCCCACTGCACCACACCCCTACTCATGGCATCCACCCCCCTCCCCCAACAATCAGCCTCTCACCCAGGCTGGCCACCCTGGCTAAAAATAGCCCAGGGCCAAGACTTCTTCCACCCCTGCTGCTCCAGCCCCTGAAAATGGACTGGGTGGGAGGAAAAATCAACATAGCCCGGGCCCCAAAATAGACCATCACCCAGACTCCGCGGTTTGGGGCCTCTGTGTAGAGAGGCCAGGAGGCGGGTTCCTGTCCCAGCCCCACGGCTGACCCACAGTACAAGGCCCTGTCTTTACCCAGGCCTTGGTTTCCACAGTAGGTGGGGGGTGGTCTGTACAGTTCCCAGTTGAGACATTCCAGGATTCTGTACAAGGTACAGACATCTGCCCCCACCTGCCCCTAAGTACCCCTCCTCCTCTCTGTTCCCTCTCTCAGCCTCCACGTGAAATGTGGTTTGAAAAAAGGGTTCTTCCAAGATAAAAAGGATGAAAACCACTGATAGTGAAATCCCTTCGTTGCACAGAATGGAAACGGAGGCCCTGATGGGGACAGAGACTTACTGTCTGTCACTTAACCCAGGCAGAGACATGGCTCGAGCTCTTCCTCTGGCCCCTGGTGTGGAGCCAGAGTCAAAGAGTTATGAGCGTCAGCATTAGAGCCAGACCTGGGTTCAAATCCTGACACTGCCCCTCTAGCTGTTCAGTCTTGGGTAAGTCCCTTAACCTCTCTGTGCATCCGTGTCCTCATTCGTGAGCTGGGAGTCCTAATGACCCCAGCCACCCAGGTCACTGGCCACAAAGGCCTGGCACAGAGTAGCTGTTCAGCAGGTTTGAATGACCTCGGGCAGTCCGGGATGGGTTGAAGCAGCTGCCTGACTTGGGCTCCCGCGCCCCCGCCCCTCTGCTAGTACGACAGGACAGAAACTGCCGTCAACAACCTCAACCCCGCGTTCTCCAAGAAGTTCGTCCTCGACTACCACTTCGAGGAGGTGCAGAAGCTCAAGTTTGCCCTGTTTGACCAGGATAAGTCCAGCACACAACTCGATGAGCATGACTTCCTGGGCCAGTTCTCCTGCAGCCTGGGCACGGTGAGCCGGGCCCCTTCCGGGGGCCAAGGGCAAGGCAGCTCTCGCCTCTGACCCCTCCCTGCGCCCAAGGACAGGGCAGTCCCTTGCGGAGGGCCTCTTCTGCCACCTGCTTTCCCTGGCCCCATTTTCCTGGCTGGCTTTCGAGGTAGCATTGCAAACGCAGATGGCCTTGGGGGGCAGCTAGCACGAAGGGGTAAGCAGCCTGGAGGTTTGGGGCCAGGCTGAAGAGTTTCCACTGGCTGTTGCCACACAGGAAGGGGGACCCCATGTGGCCAAAACCGCTGATTGTCAGAAGTAATCAGATGTGGTCTTGACTTCCTGGCTTAGGAGCATCTGACCAGTACCCGTGGGCATCCCTCTTTGTGGCTGGCTTACTGTGTAACCTTGGGCAACTTCCTTTCCCTCTCTGGGCCACCCTTTCCCATCCAGTGCAGTCCTTGCTGAGCTTATCGGGGTCGGGTGACTGCAGGGCTAGGAGTTCCAACCCTTTTGGCTGGGTGCCCTCGGGCAAAGTCCGCAGCCCCTTCTGGGCCTCAGTCTCCCCCCATTTCACTTGGGGCTACTGATGACTGCTTAGTCTGCGGTGATGATGGGGAATAGTGCGCACTGAGACGGCCCGCCCTTCCAGGAGACGGGAGGGAAAAGCAAGGCCCACGGGGGTGTGAGAAGCAGGGTGTGTCTCTGAGATTCCTGCCCCAAGTCCATGCCCTCAAAGGGTAACTGAGGAGAGCATGGGAGGGTGAGGGGGCAGCAGCTGCCACCAGCGTGGCCACCCGAAGCCCGGAGAAGGGGCAGAGCGCGCCGCGGGTTGCCAGGACCTGGTGAATGATGTGGCCACGGCCTGGAGGCCTCTGGACTCGAGCTAAAGCCACCAGTCAGCCTTGCTGCCCTCCTGGTCTCCCCTCGTGGCTGCACCCACAGCCCAGGGTGGCAGATGATGAGGAGCAGGTGGGGAAGGGCGAGGGTGAGAGTGGACTGGGGAAGAAAGCCAGACTTGCTGCGGCAGCACAGAGAAACGCTGGCATTCCCCTTCCCCCCAAGAAACCGAGAACCAGGGTAGCCCGTGGAGAGTGTGGGGAGGGGTACAGAGATGGCCGAGGGGCAACTTTACAAAGGGTTCTGCTTTTCCTCTCCCCATCGTGTCGATCGCCTTGTGCGGTGTGCCTGTCTCTCTCTTCCATCGTGAAAATACACAGGAGTCAGGATTTGCTCTTCTCCATCAGGGATCGCACCCTGGGGAGGGTGGGGTCTGTAGATGGCTTTAGGAGAGGTGGTGAGGGGGCTGGACTTCCCCGCAGGGGCCTCCCGAATGTGAGCCTGGTAGGAGCCTTATCCTGGGGGCAGCCAGGTCAGTGGGAGTGGACTGCAGGGATCCGTGCTGGCTGTGGGACATCCAGCCGGTGTCTTAACCCCTCTGGGCGGCCATCTCCTCAGCCGCCCGGTGGAGTTAGCGATGGTTGCTGGCTGCACGGGGAGGTGTAACCAGCAGCAAGCCACCAGCACGGAGGGAGACGAGCCGCGTGCGTGCGCTGGGAGGGGTGCCTGCTGAGCCGTTTTCCTCCCTGCCAACCCTCAGGAGCGCCACTCTCCTCTCTCCTTCCCCACCCCAGATCGTCTCCAGCAAGAAGATCACTCGGCCTCTGCTGCTGATGAATGACAAGCCCGCAGGGAAGGGCCTGATTACGGTACCAGCCCCCTCCCTGCTCTCTGCACCCCTCCGCCTCTGACGGCTGCCCTCCCCCATCAATGGGCTGCTTCCCTGCCAGATAATCACCAGCTTTGTTTGGAGTAAAAAGGCCCAACTTACAACTTAGCAACAGGTCTCTTAGCAACGGGCTCCTGGCTCCACAGATGATGCGTTGGGAGCCGGCAAGCTGGGAGTAGGGGGCTTGCTAGAGGCCCCTATGGCCTCCCACTCCCAGGGCAGGGGCGCTCCCACTCATCCCTGGAGGCCACCCTAGCCCTCCCAGCTTGCCCTCCCCTCCTGGCCCCGCCTGCCCTCCCTAGGGGGTCTTTGAGGAGCTCCTGACCCTCGGAGCTCTGTTTGCGGCTGCAATGCGCAATGATTGCAGCGGTGCGATGCGCAACGATTCCTTCCAGCCATGGGGTGCGCATTTATTCTAGTGATGCGCAATGATTCCAGCCTTACGCAGGCCCTCTGCGCGGAAGAGCCCTGGGTCCTCACGGTCCCCTAGAAGGCCGGGAAACCTGTTTTACAGATGAGGGACCTGGAGCCCAGAGAGGAAGTGCCCTGGGGCAGTGAGGCTAGTGAGAGTCTCTGGATTGCCCCCTTCAGAGACTGTGTGATGCCAGAGGAACCGGCCAGCTAGGGGGAGGAGGGCCAGCCCTATATGTGCTCATGTATAGTCACTCCCCTGCTCTGGAGCCTCCCTGGCTCCCCACTACCTGTGGAGCTTTGCATTCAAGGCTGTGGGGGACCCCACCTTGCTTTCCTGGCGCAGTCATGTTTTACGTCTCCATGTACATACCCCGGGCTCAAGGCAAACTGAAATCTTAGCATACCGCACATATCCCAGACCATTATCCACTGTTCCTGCCACCTTGACTGTCCCCTCCCAATCTCTTGGGGTTCAGAACCCCCTTATCTAAATGCCTTCACTAGCCAGTTCCCCTCTACCTGGAAGCCAACCCAGGTGATGTAACTGTTAGCCCCAGCATTGCCACCTTGCCACTCCAAACCTCAGTTCCTTCCTCTGTGAAATGGGGGTAATAATGGGACCCATCTTGCAAGGTAGTTGAGCAAGTGTCTTCTGGAGGAGAGGAAAGGGAGCCTGGCATCCAGCCTGGCTCCTGTGTAGTTCTAGGAGGTCAAGTAGCTTCCAGAAGGTGAGGCTGTCCTACAGGTGTGGGGAAGGAGGAAGCCCGAGCGAAAAGAGGACCCAGCCCAGCTGTGTGGGTGTTGGCCCAAGGGCTTTCCCTGCCACCCCATGGGGAGGGGGAGAGAGAGGCCTAGAGAGGGCAAGGGTAGCCCCACGGTCACTCAGCTGGTCCATCACTGGCTGGGTTGGGGCCGTAGGGTCATGGCTGATGGCGAAGACATGGAAGACAGATGACAATATGAGCTGACCAGACAGCAGAGGGACTGAGGTGACCCCTGGGCCTCAGTTTCCCTAGCTGCACAGGGAGGTTGCTGGAATTCCCAATGCCGTGGCGTTTTGAGGTTGGCTGTGCTTCCTGGGTCCACAGCGGGGCATGAGGGGGCCTGTCAGACTGCTCCCTGGCCCAGAGCCCCTCCCCCGGGCTCAAGACCACCCCTCATATCTGGTAACCGCTTCACATGGCCTCCTCTCTTGAGCCACACGGAGTCCCTTCTGATTCCTCAGATTCAGATGGGTTACCCCATTTTTCAGAAGATGGAACACCTCCATTGAAAAGACAAGAGGCATGTCCAGGGTCGCCTGGTACTACCCCTGCCCCCCTCCTCTCCTCTCCCCTGCCCAGCCCTGAAGAGCTGACTCGTGGGCACCTGTGCTCACTCTGCCTGGCGGGGCGCCAGGGGGAGTGGAAGGGGCAGGTCCCAGCCCTCACCTTGCTGTGGCCTTACAGATTGCTGCCCAGGAGCTGTCAGACAACCAGGTCATCACACTGAGTCTGGCGGGCAGGAAGCTGGACAAAAAGGTAAGGCAGGCAAGAAGGAGGTCTCCATCAGGGGGCGGTGTCCCTCCCCCAGCCCAGGGTTGTGCAGCCTTTCCTGGTGCTTCTGGCTGTCACCTTTATCACCCGTATCCAGGAGCAAGTCCGTAGCTTAGGACCAAATTAGAACCTCTTTACCGCTGAGGTAGTGAGATTCCCATTATTTCGAGGTATTCAAGACATAATTGGAAACCTACTGCTTGGGACTCCCCGTCTCACTTACTGTGAATGCTAGGATCCTTATAATAACACACAGTCCCCCGCCCTCCTTCACCCCTACCCCCTGACTTCACCCTTTCTACTCTCCCTACCTTCATTCTGCCTCGGCCAAATCAGCCTCCTCATTGTCCCAGGATTATATTAGGTATTCTCCTGCCCCGGGGCCTTTGCACTTGCTATTCCCTCTGCCTAGGGAGTTCTTTTCCCTGAATACCCCTGACACTTTTTTTTTTTAACTTAAATAAATGGATTTTTGGAGGACATCGTATCCCTTCTGTGACAGGCTGGGATAGTTTGAGTTTTTCAGATTTCCGCTAAAATAAATTAAAACCACACCCTGCTGTGGGCATCGCCCTGCACCGGAAGCAGTCACCCTTTTGAAGTCCTACCCGTGTGCGTTGTAGCTCCTGCAGGCTCTGGGCCTCAGGATCTCTGAACGCAGGCTTCGGTGACACCAGGGCAGGGGGGAGAGCTGGTTGGCCCCTGGGGACTTGCTCTGCCCACAGCCCCCACACCTGACCCTGGGTTGGGGGCAGCGGCAGGGTCACCCCACTTCTCATCTGAATCCGCTGGAGTTGTGCCGCCCTCACCCACATCGTCCTGCCTCCTCCAGGACCTCTTCGGAAAGTCAGACCCATTTCTCGAGTTCTATAAACCAGGAGATGACGGCAAGTGGATGCTGGTTCACAGGACTGAGGTGGGTGCGTGGGACTCTGGGGGTCTCTGAGCCAGTGTCTCGGGATGGGGCTGTGTGGTCGCGGCCGTGCAGGGAACAGGGAGAGGCACGATGGCGCCCAAAGGATTTGTTCCCTGCCAGCCGCAGACCGGCCCCAGAAGCGTGGCTGTGGGTCTCCGCCCTTATCTCTACCGCCGGCCCCACCCCAGCTCCGCTGCCTGCGCTCACCCGCGGCCCTCACGCCCTGCAGGTGATCAAGTACACGCTGGACCCTGTGTGGAAACCATTCACTGTGCCGTTGGTGTCCCTGTGTGATGGGGACCTGGAGAAGCCCATCCAGGTGAGGGGGCTCTGGGGGCCCCATGCCCCCCCCCGCCAGCCCCGGGGCTCCCCGGGTGCCTTGGCAAAGCTCGAGCTTTCTTTCCTTTCTTTCTTTTCTTTCCTTCCTTCTTTCCTTTCTTTTTAACCTTTTTTACAGTTTATTCTTGAGAGAGAGAAAGAGAGAGAGAGAGAGCACAAACAGGGGACGGGGAGAGAGAGAGGGAGAGGACAGGCTGTGCACGGTCAGTGTGGGCTCAATCGCGCGAGATCATGACCTGAGCTGAAATCGAGAGAGACAGAGACGGATGTTTAACTGACTGAGCCCCCCAGGTGCCCCCGGCGCTCTTTCTTCTTAAGGTGGAGAAGAGAACCCACGTAGGGGAAGGGACAGGGGACCTGGGCTCCGGTCTCAGGTCTGCCTGACCGTGTGAGCCGCCTGGGCAAGGCCCCTGTCTCTGTGAGCCCTTCTCTAAAACAGGAACAGAATGACGCCGGCTTCTTCCCAGAGGGCCCTGGCGCTGCCGGCTGGGCTAACGGCTGGGGAAACACCTTGGAGGCGACCAAGTGTTGTCACTGTGGCCTTTAAGGTGGACAGTTGATGAGGAGAATGATTACTGCTCTCTAAAAACCCCGAGAGCAGGGGGAGAGGGAGCCAGCGAGGCTAGGGCAGGGAGCCTGAAACAGGGTGCTAGGAAACCTAGTTCTGGGCCTATTACTGCCACTGCGAGACTTTGGGCAAGTGCTTCCCTCTTGAGGCCTCAGTTTACCCATCAGTGGCATGGGTATGGTAATTCCTGCCTTCCTCCTAGGAGTGGTAGCTAGATTAGAGAGCGTGGAAAGCTGGGATATTTTTGTACCTGTGTCAAGGAAAATGAGTTTAGGGAGGGCCTCAGGCCATGGCACAGGAAGGCAGGTGGGTCACACCCCCAGACAGATGAGGAGCTGAGAGAGACAGGTGTATGAGGACTTAAGCTTCCTGCTCCAGAGTGTACAGCCTCCATTGCTGGGGTGCTCCTTTCCCAAGAAATCATGGAAGGCTTCCTGTAGGAGGCAGTTGGGGAGCTAACAGCCTCATCCCAGGCCAGCGAGTCAGATGCTGGGGGGTAAGGTGAAGCACCAGCCAAAGGAAGACATGGGGTTTGCTCAGGCGGCTGAGAGGGCTGGAGAGCCCCTCCTTGGGGGCTGCTCTGGGTGACCTCACTGGGCCCACCCCAGGTCATGTGCTACGACTATGACAACGACGGAGGCCATGACTTCATCGGCGAGTTCCAGACGTCAGTGTCGCAGATGTGTGGGGCTCGTGATGGTGTCCCGGTGAGATGGGCCCGTGTGTGTGTGACCCTGAAACCTCAGCAGGGGACGGGCAAGGGGCACAGGCTTGGAATCGGGCAGGCTAGGTCTCAGATCTCCCCCTCTGGCTTTAGGACCTTAAGTCAGGAAGGACTTCTTAAGCAAGATATCCAATTCCTCTGAGCCTCAGTTTCCCCATCTGTCTAATGGGGCAGGTGAAGGGAGTGAGAATTCAGTGAAATGATACAGGTAAAGTGCCCAGCACATGGGGAGCACTCAAGAGCTATTTAACTCCCCCAAGAAGCTAGGCCCTGGGTGGCGGTTCTGGGTGTATGAGTGGACATGATCGAGATGACACGTAGGTGTTATCTGGGGTGGGGAGCAGATGCAGATCCTCCTGCCTTAGGCAGGCACAGCTTGGTGTGAGCCTGAAGCGGCAGGAACCTTTTCTGGGTGTGGGCATCTGGGAAGGCTTCCTGGAGGAGGCATGCTGCCCACTGGTCAGCACTGTGGGGGGGATCCTGGGTCCGAGGGGAGGGTCACTCCCCATGGAAGCCCTGAGCTGAGCTTCTTTTTCTCTTCCCGTGTCACCCAGCTGGAGTTCGAGTGCATCAACCCCAAGAAGCAAAGGAAGAAAAAGAACTATAAAAACTCGGGCATCATTATCCTGCGTTCCTGCAAGGTGAGCCGGCAGGGGTGGGCACGGGCAGGAGTCTGCTGGGGGCCACACAGGGAGGTATCACCGCAGAAGGGATAGACAGAGCACTGGGGATGGAGCCAGCAAGACCTGGATTCAAATCCTGGTTCTGCCACGTCCTGGCTCTGGGATCTTCTGAGCTTAACCTCTCTGGGCCTCAGTCTCCTCCTCTGTAGAAGGGGGATGTTAACTAGGTAAAGCATGTGAAGGGTGATCTCAGATCATATTCCTGTGATATAAGGAGGTCCGGGAGGGCACGAAATGACCTTCCAGGTCCTCTGCTAGTTGGAAGGTCACTGGGGAGTTGCTGCTTCCCGTGCTGGTGGCTTGCCACTGCATGTTCGGCATCGTAGGGGCAGAGGGACCCTAACCCCACCCTAGTCAGGTGGGAGCCCACCAACATCATCGAGGGCTCTGGTCACAGTGACTCGCATGGTACCGCGCGGGCCTCTGAGGCCCAGCAAAGGGAGTGGGGGGTCACAGCAGCAGGGGTCAAGGCTGTCCCCAGGTAGCTGGCAGCCAAGCATGTGCTGGAGTGAGGCAGGGTGGGTGTCAGGGAAGGCAGGGCGGCGAGAGCCCTGGCCGGTGGGCCTGAAGGTCCCTAGCGAGTCCTGGGACCCTCCCCGGGCCAGCTGGCCGACCCCGGACCCCAGGCCTCTGCGTCCCAGTCTAGAGTCCACACTGTCTGGCTGGGGTTTCCACGACTGTTCGGTGAGGTCACAACGCGGAAGTGCTCAGTGGCAGCTGATCTGTCAGGTTACAGCCTTGTGATTGGGGGCCTTGTGCCTGACACTTCCGTCCCTCACATTCCCCTTCATGAGTTTTGGCACCTGCCTTACTTATTCCTTTTTGTAATCAGCCCTTCTTCTCCCCTTTCTTGGATTTTTTGGTTTGTTTGCTTGGTTGGTTTTTGCTTTTGTTTTTACTTAAATACATTTACTTTGAAAGGAACCCCCTTCTAACTCCACCAAAATTGGAAAGCCAATATCCTTTGCCAAAAGGAGCAAAGACCGTCAAAACCAACACTGTTTTAGCAGCATTATTAATTTATAGCAGAAGGCCTTGAGCCGGAGGCCTGGTCCCTCTGTTCAGGGCCGAGGTTGGTCAGGGCTAAAGAGAGCTTAAGGACTGAACAGCAACAAATTGAGACTTTCTCTGCCGTGTAATTGGTAGGTGTAACTGACACTGCGCCCTTGGGCCCTGCCTGGAATCATCACGTGTGGGCATGCGCATGTGTGTGTGTGTGTGTGTGTGTGTGTGTGTGTGTGTGTGAGTGAGTGAGTGAGACCCACCGGAACTATTGCTCTGAGTGCTTTGTTATAGAGAGATTGGAGTTTGGTTGTAATGAGACCAGGTCTTGTCCTCCTTGACTCTACCAAGTTTTCAGGGCACAGAGCAATCCGCTCCCCAGAAGCCATCTTGGGTGTTGTGGCCAGGTGGAGGGCCAGGCCGCAGGTGCCGAGCAGGCACCCACTGACCCCCCTGATTCCTTCTAGATAAACCGGGACTACTCTTTCCTGGACTACATCCTGGGAGGCTGCCAGCTCATGTTTACAGTGAGTCTCTCCCCCCAGCGCCGCCCCACCCAGCCCCAGTGAGGAGCCTCCCTAAGGGCTTGGGCCACTGCTGTAGCAGGAGGGGACGTGGGTAAACTTTGGGAAGGACTTCTCCAGGGCAGAGGATGTGTCTGGCCCAGGGGAGAGCTTGCCGGTGGCTGGGCCCGAGTCAGGGCCTGGCTGGAGGTCAGGGCTGCCCAGCCTTGCGAGGAGTGCTGGCTATGCCTCTTCAGCAGGAAAAGAAGCCAGATTCCTCTTCGATGGTCGGGAGGCCTTCCCGTCTCCTCTGCGACGCCTCCTCTCTGCTCTGCGGTTCCGTGCACACAGGTCCCCACCGCCCCCCCAGGATGCCGAGCTCCCTTCTGTCCTCGGGCTTTGCACGTGCTGTTCCCTTTGCCTGCAACGCCCTGCCATCGTTCAGGCCAGGGCATAGAGGTCACCTCCTCAGGGAGGCCTCCTGATGCCTCCTCGTTCCTCCTGTCTCTTTACCTATTGTATGATCTTCAGGACACTCGCCACTCTGAAATTATTCCAGTAGTTTTCTCCTGTCCCTGTTTGCCCCACCCTGCAGACTGTGAGTACCCTTAGTGCAGGGATTTTGTTTTGTTTCTGTACCAACCTCGGCAAATCACTCAGTGCCTGGCACACAACAGGTGTTCAGTAAATGAATTGTGCCTCTGCCTGTGGCCTGGAGCGTATGCCCCATGGACCGGTCCCACCCATCTGGTTTTCCGCTCCTCACCGGGTCCTGCTGGGGTCCCGGGCTCTGCCCACCTCCCCGCCTGGCTTCACTGCTCTCCGCCACCACCTCTAGATTCCATGGGGCTGGAGGTTATCTGCATGACCATTTGGAGTCAGGGGATTGGCCTTGTTGATCTCTGACCCCACTGCTGGTCACTACTACCCCCTCATTCTGATAGGCTGGGCTCCCCTGTTCCGTGTGTGAGTGTGTGTGTGTATTCTTTCACAAATGGGCGCCTCCTCTATGCCAGACCCACCCCCCGATGCCCAAGCGCTAAGGTGGCCATCTTTCTCCCTGGGTCCCTCTCCTAATCCCCCCTTGCCAGGCAGGCCTGCCTGCCCATCTGCCAGCCCTCCCAGGGTTGGGCTGGAGTTCCCTGCGGCTGAGGGGAGGACATCAACCTCAGCTCCCGTGGAGCCCCCTCCCTGGTTCTCGGTGCCTGGGCCTGGGCCTGGCTCTGGGGGCCTGGATCTCACCTGGGCACCCACTCTGGGCAGATGGGCACTGCCATACCAGGCAGCCCTGGGTCCCGGGGCCCCTTGGTGGTCAGAGGGATAATGTGAAGGTGGCTTGGGGAGGTGGGGAGGGTGTCTGGGGAGGCAGGGCAGATCCAAAGTGGGCCTGAATGATGGAGGAGAATTAGGGAGAAAAGATGGCCTGCCTCTTTAGGTAGAGGGAACCTCATGAATAAAGGCCTGGAAATGGAAACAGATGAGTGTGTGGGTAGTGACAGTGAGGGGGAGAAAGGAAGTTGGGACTATGAGTTGGCTTTATATCACATCTGGGCAATAGACTTTGTGCTTGAGCAATAGGGAGCCAAATGGCACTAGAACCAAAGGAGTGACACAGTTTCCAGGTTTCAGACCATCTTATGGAGGGTGGGAGATGAGTGGGCTTCCCATGTCCCATCAGCCTCGTTCCCTGGCAGTGTGATAGGGAGCTAGGGTCTGTGACCACCCTAGGTGGCCTTTATTTACACCCCCCCCCCCTCCACTACAGGTTGGGATAGACTTCACAGCCTCCAATGGGAATCCCCTGGACCCTTCCTCTTTGCACTACATCAACCCCATGGGCACCAACGAGTATCTGTCAGCCATCTGGGCTGTCGGGCAGATCATTCAGGACTATGACAGGTAAGCTTGGGGAGGGACCGTGAAGGTCAGCTCTGGCTGCGTCCAACCAGGAAGCTCAGCTTCTCAAAGCTGGCAGGGACCCAAAGATCATGAAAACTAGGAATGGCTAACACATGACGTGCCTTAGGGCCCCTTCCTACACCTGTGGCAGACATTGCTAGTCAATTGCTGACCTCCTAACCTAGGGAGCCCAGATCCACACTGGGTCCCTTCTTCATATAGTACACCAAGTAGCCAGTAAGAAAAGGAATCAAGGTAGAAAATGAAACTTGTTTGCTATTGTTGCAACTTTCCCTTTTAGAGCTGAGGAAATGTAGGCTTCAGGAGGTTGTAGAGAATGTATCCAGGGTCACACAGATCAGGGGGACTAGCAAGCAGACATTCTGATTCCTGGGTCTGGCACCTAACGGCCTCATAGTCTCTCCCCTGTTGGGAACTTGGAAGGAGCAGCCACCACGTGTGGGCCCCCTTCCCATGCCCATGCTTCCTGGAGATCTTTGGGTTAAGGAAGGGGGAGGGTGGAAAGTCAGTGAAGGAAAGCTGTGTAGGGGGTGTGGCCTTGGAGGATCAGAAGTCACTTGAAGGTTATGGCATCATTGCCACAGGAGGTGCTTGTTGGGACCTCCAGGCCACAGGGTGGAATGACTAGGAAGCCAAAACACGGGGAGCAGGGGAGGAAGGTGCAGGTGCCAGAGATTTGGCAGGAACAACAAACAGCAAACTCAGGAATCCCATATGCACTCGGCCTCCTCAAGAGAGGCCTCTTTAGGACCAACGTCTGATTCCCAGGGCCTAAGGGGTGGCTGTCATCCCTGGCAACATTAAGAGAGGTATAGCGCATGTGGCAGGGAAGGTGAAAGTCCCCATCTGCATGGTTGGGTGGAGGAACCTACAGTTGCCGCTCTGGAGTCCCTGGTATCCAGCTGGCCACTCAGTCCCTTCACTGAGCCTCCTCATGGGCATTCAGACTTCTCAGAAGGACCCAGTAAGCTCTGGACACCTGCCTCTGCCCTACCCATCTCACCCTCTTCCCCATCTCAGTGAGAGGCGCTACCACTCACCCACAACCCTTCACTGTCTCCTTGCCTTATCTCCCCCAATGCTTTCAGCAAATCCTTTCGAAACCTAGTTGAATCTAGCCCCTTCTCCCACGCCCGCTGCTACCAGCCTCTTCAAGCCACCGCCCCTTCCCGCCCAGACCACTTCAGTGGGCTCCTCACTGGTCTGCTTCTGCCCTAGCACCCGACACTTTGTCCCCCACACAACAGCCAGGGGACTCCTCACTATGTAAGTTGAGTGAATGCACAGATGAGACCTGATCCCTGCCCTCAGGGAGTTTCCACTCCAGGAGGAAGACAGGGAAGATGTCACTGGAGTTCTGAGAGAGCAGCTTATGTGTGAGGCACGAGCTATGGGAGCACCAGAGAGAGGCATTCTCAGGCCTCAGGGAAACCCCCAGGGGGAAGGGGCCATTTGAGTCGGGCCATAGTGGATGAGTAGGAGTGTGCCATAGGGAACGGGCTGGGGACGAGAGGGGATATAACATGATTGAAATTGGAGGGGCGCCTGGGTGGCTTAGTCGGTTTAGTGTCCGTCTTTCTCTTAGGTCATGATCTCTCGGTTCGTGGGTTCGAGCCCCGCGTCGGGCTCTGTGCTGACTGCCAGCTCGGAGCCTGGAGCCTGTTTCAGAGTCTGTGACTCCCTCTCTCTCTGACCCTCCCCTGCTCACGCTCTCTCTCTCTCTCCTAGAAATAAATAAAAAATATTAAAAAAAAAAAATTGGAGCGTGAGGTGCCCTGTGTGAGGCACAGCTGGTGGCCAGTGGCCAGGGCTGGGGCAGTGGGGTATGAGGGAGGGCAACTAGAAGGAGAGGAGAGTTGGTCCCAGGGCTGGATGATGAAGGGCCTTGAAGCTAAGCCAGGGTTCTCGTTTAGGAACATTTTTCCCCCACCATAAAAGGGAGGTTGAGAGACAGGCAGTGTATTTCTGTAACGACTGTGGTTTAGTGGATGCCCAAGGTCCCAGTTTGAGAAGGATCTAAAAGCCGCCTCCAGGCCCACGGGTTAGAAGTGCTGGGATTGATTAGCCGTGTCTGCCACAGGTGCGGCTGGGGTCGAGCCTCACGTTCACCGGATACTTAAGAGGTGGGTGTGAGTTCAGTAGATGGTTCAAACAGCTCTTTCTAGAGGTGGTGAGCATTTTCCCTCTGTCCTTGGAGGCGTGCAAGGCAGAGTGGGCCCAGCCCTGGGTGGGGGCTGGGAGGGGTGCGTGTGGGCAGGTGAGGCCTCTGACAATGGTTTTCTTCTCCTGTCTCTCATCAGTGACAAGATGTTTCCGGCTCTGGGCTTTGGGGCCCAGTTACCCCCAGACTGGAAGGTGAGTGGAGCTGGAGTCTTCTTGGTCGAGATGGGATTTGTGTGTACAGCCTCTCTGGAATCTGGAAGGAGCTGGAGGCCCAGCTGCCCTGCGTTCTCTGCATTGACCCCAAACTCACAGTCCTTTCTCAGCCTGAGCCTCACGTGGGCGCCGGGGGCTATAACAAGCGGGACGGTTATGGTTTCTGATCCCCGGTATTGAAGTCAGGTGGAGAAGACCAGTAGGATGCCAGATTTGGCAAACAAAAATCCAGGATACCCAGTGACGTTTGAATTTTAAATAAGCACATTCTCTTAAAGTGTAAGTATGTCCTAAATATTGCCTGGGACACACTTATCCTAAAAAGTTAACCATTGTTTATCTGGAATTCAGATTGAACAGGGCATCCTATATTCTTCTAGCAGCCCCAAAGACTGACAGGTCATCAGTGCTGGGAAGGGGTAGTATGGACCTGGGAGGAGCTGAGGGGAGGAGCCCCAACCCAGCCTGAGGGTAGCAAGGAAGGCTTCCTGGAGGAGGCAAGGTCTAGGTCAGGAAGGAGTTTGCAGAGTGACTGGGGTTGGTGATGGGGCACAGATAGTGTTCAGAGCAGAGAGAACCAGCTTTGCAAAGCCTGGGAGGCAGGGGGACCGGGGTAGTTAGAGGAACTGAAGCAAGGTGGCCATGATGGCCTCTCTTTGGAAGATGGAGAGAGCTGTGGCTAGCAGGGTGGGGGCCAGCCATTCAAGACCCCGAATGCTAATTAAACAGCAACAGGCAGCCTCTGGAGGGTCCATGTAGAGTGTTATAATCCAGTTGGCATTTTCAAGATTTTATGTTTTTTATTTATTTTGAGAGAGAGCATGTGCATGCATGCTCGAGTGAGTGGGGGAGGGGCAAAGAGAGAGGGAGAGAGAGAATCCCGAGCAGGCTCCATGCCGTCAGCACAGAGCTCAGTGCGGGGCTCCATCCCACGAACCGTGAGATCATGACCTGGGCCAAAATCAAGAGTTGGGCACTTAACCCAGGCACCCCTTTTTAAAGATTTTTTTTTAAATGCTTTTTATTGAGAGAGAGAGAGAGAGCAGCTGGCGTTTTGAAGGCTCACTCTGGCTGCTGAGTGCGGACCGGCTAGGGTGAGTGATGGTGGGCCAGAAGGAGGGATGAAGAGGGGTGATGTCCATTCCCCAGGTGGAAGACCAGAGGCTCAGGTGACTTGCCCGAGGCCATGTTCACAGCAGGGAGCCTGGAGTCCAGCTGGGCAGATGGACGATTCTGTTCTCAGAATCTGCTGCCTCTCCCGTGAGAAGCCTGGGGCTGTTGTGGGCACAGAGGGCTCCTAAACCTGCACAGGTGTCTCAGCCGGTGCCCCCTCCTGTCTGCCCTGCTGTGACCCATGCTGCTTTGAGAGTCAGCATCCCCCTCCCACCCTCTCTGGGGAGGACATCTTCCCCTTGGATTTTAGGGAGCGGCTCCTGGCCACCGTATGGTCTGGAGCTTGGGGGTGGGGGGGTGGGGCACGATCCTGCAGGACCAAAGCTGGGCCTCTGGGCAGACAGTGATGCCACTGGGGGGCAGGGCAGCCTGGTGCGGCCAGCCTAGCATGAGCCCGTTGCTAGGACACCAGCCAGCTTTGAAAGGACTCTGGCTGAATGAGATGTTTTCTCCCTCAAAAGCCTCCTTGGAAATGTCACAGGGCAACTCTGGGGAGGCTGGGGCTCGGCCAGGCTGAAGGGCCCGGTGGCGCCAGGTGGGATGTGGGAGCCAGGCTGGGCAAGGGCAGATGCCAGGCCTGGCCCCTCCCGGCCCCTTCCCTCCCGCTCATTCTAGCTGGCCTTGCTCCTGCCTCTTGAGCCTTTCATTGATTCCCACCTCAGGGCCTTTGCACGTGGCCTTCCCCTGGCCTGTTGCTCCTTCTCACTTTTCCCTCCACTCTAGAGGCCAAGAGATCATTCCCTCTGGGAGGCCTTCCCTGAGGGAGCCCATGTGGGGCCCTGCTCTCCTCCTGGGCACCGTCCTCACAGAACTTTCTGGTCACCTCTGTACGTGCGGGTTTGCCTTTGTCACCTCCCTCCAGGGCTTAATGGTCAGGGAGGGCCCTTGGTTTCCTCCTTGCTGTGTCCCAGCACCTGGCACGCATTGGGAGTGCAGAGCTTGTTTGCTGACAGTGGACCTGGGGCTACCAGCCTGAGCACAGAAGCGTCGGTCCTCTGAGGGTGAGAAGCTAGAAGGAACGTGCACTTGGGACCTTCAGTCCTCCCCGGGCTGGGCCATCTGCGCCCGTAGCAGACCCCTACCCTGGACGGTGGCTGGGGGACTCCGGAAGCATTTTCCTGAGGAGGTGGCATGAAGGCTTGGACGTTCAAAACGAGCCAGAGTTGGTCAGATGAAGAGAGGGATGAGGCAGGAAGGAGGGGTGCGCAAAGGTCTGCGGTGGGGGAGTGCACAGTCCGGGACCCTCCCTGCTGTAAGGATGGGGTAAGTGAGGCTCAGAGAGGGCAGTCCCTCTGGGGCCCCTTAGGCTCCCTCCCCCATGCCCTGCCCCCGCCAGGGCCACAGGGCTCACTGACTTTGGCCGGGGCTGGGTGAACAGAGCCACTGATTGTCAGAGGCAGCGGGGAGTCCCAGGACAAAGAGCTGTGGCCAGCAGGCCCCCAGGGGCCCCTAATCCCACTTATGGCCTCCAGGAAACCTGTCCTGTTTACTGGCATTGCTTAGGCAAACCAGGGCAGCAAGCATGGGAGGGGGCTGGGCCGCTGAGCGCGTGTCCCCCAGATACGGTCCTGGCTCTGCTGTGGCTCACCCGTGTCACCTGGGCATCCCCTGACCCATTCTGAACCTCAGTCTTTTGACCTGTGAAGTGGAGCTGCTGGACTAGGTGAGGGGCCTGTGGGCTGACTGGGTGACCTCCACAGCCCCATCCACTTGGACCACCAAGCCCTCCTGCAAAGAAAGGGGGTAAGCAGTGGGGAATAGAGTTTGGGTGGCCGAGAAAACAGATCACTCCATTCCTATCAGGAGGGGGCTTTCCCCCTTGGTCTCGAAAATCTCCTAAAAATCTGATTTTGTAAGAAGTCACTGGCCCACAGAGGCCTGTTTCCTTGGCAACCATTTTCCTCTCTCAACCCCTCAGTACAAGCCCCCCCTCTTAATCTCTGTAGAGGCTCATGAAGTTGCCATGGCAATGAGGACCTCCAGCCCCCACAGCTGGAGCCCAGATTGGGGTCAGGATGAAGGGGGCCCCAGGGTAAGGAGAGGACCCGAAACGGTCATTAGGGGGCTGGCTCCATGCCAGCCTTTAGGGCTGAGGGAGCAAAGGACAGGAAAGCCGTTGCCCAGAAAAGGGACGTGTCTTCTCCTCAGGCCACCCAGTCACCCGTAGGGTCCTCCTGCTGTAAACTCCTCGTGCGGAGCCTCGCCCTTCTTGGCCCAGGAGGGCTCAGCAAGGCCAGAACTCCAACTCCCTCTCAGCTCATGAGGGGCTCAGGTCTTAGGCCTGTTCTGCTGTATGGCCTTGACACCTGGCTTCCCCTTTCTGGGCCTCAGTTTGTTTACTTGTGAAATGGGCACATCGGACTTGGTGGTGCCTTCCAGCACACACGTTGTAGTATCTTGGAGCTAACGAGTCTGCCTGGGAGTGTTTGTGCCCAGACTAAAGCTCTCACCTGGCAGACATTCCCCTAGACCTCTTCATCTTCCTAATTTAAAACCCGTGGAAGAAGGCGGAGGCGGGTCGGTAGAGTACCCTTCAACCTGAGAAGTCACTTTAAGATGGAAAAACAAAGCAAGCCACTCCCGACTGTTTGCACAACTTAATTCAGGGTAACCTACTGATGGGCAAGCAGGATCCTCAGCCACAGCTTTTCCAGAGCAAGGGGCCTGGTGGGGAGGTCACAGGGTAGTTACCTCTAGTGGGGCCCTCTGTGCGCCCTTCTCTACTGGTTAGCTCAAGTAGGGCCCTCTGTGCACCACTTTAAAAAGATCAGAACAAGCCCTCCTGCGTTCCCACGCGGGCTTACATTAACCTTGTCAGGGCCTAGAACTCGTAGTCCCGAGTGAAGTCGTGGCGCACACGCAAACAAGGTAGAGTCCTTGTCTGCACCCCTACCGCGAGGGTCGCCTTTGGAGGTTAGTGGGTTCTGGAGGCAGCCTAACCTCGGCTCTAGTCCCAGCCTTGTCCTTCAGTAAATGTGAGAGCCTGGGAACATTCTAGACCATTCTGTATCTGTTTCATCACCTGGAAATGGGGCAATAACAGGCCTTTCCCCATTGGGTCACTGACAGGGGTGAAGAGATGCCTGCAAAACTCTGAACGTGCGGCCGGGAAGGGGGCTGCGTGGGGATTTTGGCTGTGGGAATGCGGCAGCACAGAGAGTGGGGAGGGCCCCAACCGAGGCCCGGGTGCCGCAGCCCTGAATGGTGTCTAGCTCTTGTTCCTCTGTGTTTCCAGATCGGGAGTCTGCAGGATGTCCCACAGGACTGGGGGTTGGGTCTGGGGGCAGAGAAACGGGACCAGGGCCCAGGAGAACTGGGATTGCCCTCCCTGGCCACCCCCGACCCCCTCTTTCTGGCCCCATTATGCTTCCTCCTCCCCAGTCCAGCTCTGAGCAGGCTGTCCACCAATCCCCAGTTTGACTCGTTGGCATAATGTGGGCTCCTTTGTTAGCACTTGTGCTGACTGTTAAATTGGGGGAGAGCCCTCGGGGCCCTGAGAAGTAGACCGGCAGTGATGGTGTGTGACAAAGGGGCAGTCCAAGTGCCCCTGGAACCCACCTGGATGCCTTCGGAAGCCTCTCTGTCCCACTCAGGGACTGTCTTAGTGCGGCGAGGCAACACCCCCCCCCCCCCCCGCCAAAAGAGATGGGGGTGCTGTGGCACCCATTTTGAAATGAGGGTAGTCAGACCTCTCTGTGTGGCTCAGCCCCCGCAGTAGAGGTGAAAGCAGATGTGGGGGGTATCAGTAGCCTTGACCTGGGGGTGGGGATGGGGTTTGAAGAGCCTGGTGCCCCCAGAAGGAGACTTGGCCGGGCAATGGGTGGGGCTTGGAGCCAGGATGCTGCCGGCTCACCATTTTCTCTGCCTTGCAGGTCTCCCATGAGTTTGCCATCAACTTCAACCCCACCAACCCCTTCTGCTCAGGTGAGTGCTAAGCCCACCTGCATCTGCGCTGGGCAGTGGGAGGGGCAGAGTATAGGTTTTGTCTTTGTCTCCCTTCACTCCCCAGCCCCCAAGCTTGCTCATGATGACAGATGGGGAAGAGTTGGAGGTTGGAGTCAGGTGGTCCTGGATTCAAGGCCAGCTGCTGCCCTTTCCTGGCTGTGTGACCTTGGGGAGATCACTGCACCTCTCTGGGCCTCTGCCTCCTCACTTGCCTCAGGGAATATGACACCTGCTTAGCTCACCTCATTGGGTGGTCAGGTGAGAAGTAAGGGAAGCATTGACAGGAAGTCCTGTGTAGAACCGGAGGAGGTGAGAGCGGGCGGGCGGCAAATTATATGCCTGCCCCTTACCTCCCACCTGCCCTTGCTGGGAGGACCCAGCCCTAACCCCACCCTGCTCCCCCTGCCCTCCACAAGAGCCTTGGCCCCAGGAACTTGCCAGAGGGGAGGGAAGGAGAGAAAGGGGCAGGCTGCAAGTGTGGTGCCTGTGCTCAGCCCTGTCCCCCGGCCTAAGAGAATTTCTGAGCCTCCAGAATCATTTAAGAAACTATTGGAGGAGGAAGGGGGGCTCCAGGTGGGTGTGGAAGAGGGTGATCCCTGCCATCATGAGAACTTGAGCCTGCGATCTGGCTTGGGTACAGCATCTGCTTTCCCTGGGGATTCCCAAAGCTGGGCCCAGTTTGCACTTGGAAGGGAAATGCATCAAGTCGCCAGCTCGGGAACGATGCTGTGACTCAGAAGCCACGGGCATCTGTCTGTTGGCTGCAAATGGAGCCCCTCTACTGTTCTGGGCTCCGCCTAGTCTGGAGCAGGCCTCCAGAGACTTTGCCCAAAATCAGGTTGGTCAGCCTCCTCCCCAGCCAGAGACAGCCCAGACAGGACCACAGGGCAGTAGGATATTCTTAGCTTCATAATGGTGGCCGTTTACAGAGCACCTACTGTGTGCAGGGGCCATGCAAGCATCTCAGTCCCTCCCCCGCAGCAACCCTCAGCAAAAGCCATAGCATGTCCAGAATGGACCTCAAGATGGCTGGCTGCCAGGTCCCATCTCTGGGAAGGGCCTGCTGGGTCCCCTCCTGTCAACTGCCCAAGAGCAAATATTATCAGTCCCATTGACAGACAAGGACACGAGCTCAGAAAGATTAAACAACTTGCCTCAGCTAAGAAGTGGCCAGGCCAGGATTTGAACTCAGGTCTGCCTGACTCCATATTCAGGGCTCTTTGCTTTATTCTTGACCCTGCCCTCTGGAAGCTTCCAGTCTCATGGGACCCACACTGGCCCCCATAGGGCCATCTAGGGTGAGCATGAAGTAGAGGCAGGGGCCTGCAGTGGGATGAGGGTGGGTGAAGTGTTGGGGCGACCCGGCTGATGCAGCCTTCTCCCCGAGGCAGGTGTGGACGGCATCGCCCAGGCATACTCGGCTTGCCTGCCGCACATCCGCTTCTACGGCCCCACCAACTTCTCTCCCATCGTCAACCACGTGGCTCGGTTTGCAGCCCAGGCCACACAGCAGCAGACAGCCACGGTGAGTGGGCAGCTGGCAGCGTGGCCGTGCAGGAGAGGGCTGGCCCTGGTTGGGCCCTCCTTGCCTGCCGTGAGGGAGGGCCAGAGCCAGGTCCATCTTTCCAACTCCACCCACCCCCAGTGGGGCTGGTGAGCTGGATAGTCTGCCTTCTGTGTCTCAGTTTACCTGCAGGTCCGGCAAGGGGGCTGGGCCAAGCTCAACTCGATTGGTCCTGGCTTTCTGGAACAAAGACTAGAAAAAGCACAGGGATTCTGTTCATGCTTAGTAGCAAATAAGGTTGTGACCGTTGGGAGGGGCCTCTTCAGGGCAGGGGTTATTTGTTATTCCTGGGATACATGGACACCAAGAGATGGCGGTCCTTGCAGGCCCTAAAGCTACCCTCTGGGGCACTGTCTGGCTCTGGTCCCAGTGACAAGGCGCCGGCCTGGCCTGGCTGGACGCTGCCAGGGCTATTGTGTGGCATCTGGGATACATGGCAGACGGCCATCGTGGGCATCTGGAGCCTTGGTCCTCTCCCTGCCCCCTAGCCTCAGGCTGCATGCCCGTATCGGGGTCAGCAAGGGTCACCTTGTCCACTCTTCCCTCCCCCACCAGGATTTGCCCTGTCTTGACTGTTGGGAAGTCTTCTCGCCCGGCCCCAAGGGCAGTGTCTTGAGTCGTACTTCCCAGGCCCTGACCCCAGGCCCACTGGTCAGATTCAAGCCAAGGCTGGAAACCCAGTTCCTAGCTCTGGGGTGGTGGAGCCTGGGCTGCCACTTGGGGAGACTTGGGTCTGGCTCCTGCCTGGCCACTCCCTCTGGGGGACCTTCACAAGCCTCTGCCCCTCTCTGGGCTTCCCCCTTGGAAAGGAAGAGTCACTGCACCCGTGCCGAAGTCCCCTCTAGACTGTCCTTTTCATTCTACCTCCAAAACGTTCTCTCAACTTCTTCCCATTGCCAAGGCCACCGTCTTCTGACACCACAGCCACACCCTCACCCCTCTGGACCCTACAATCCATTCTCCTGCCTGGAGTCCGTTTAACAGCATATCCGGCCACTCCTGGGCCCCTCTCTTCTGTAGAGACCTCCTCTCCTACCCTCCCCTACACTGTACTCCCTTTAGGGGTCTACCACCAACCCGCTTCCTGTCGCTCAAATGCACAACCTTGTTCCCCTCACAGAGCCTCTGCCCTGGTGACACTGCCTGGCTGGTCCACCCATTCCTCGGGGTCCCCTCAGATGCCCCCACCGTGGCCCTCCTTGAGCACCCCTGTGAGGTTGCTCTCCCTCCTGTTTGTTCTCATCTGGGCTCCGAGGATGGCAGCAGCATCTGTTTGCCTACTCTCCGTTTCCTGGTCTGTTGTGCGTCTGTCCCCATGACTCACAGCCCCACGGGCCAGGGCCGCGGTGGTTGTGTTTGCTGTCACCCCCTGCCAGCCTGTGGCAGGCGCTCAGCAGCCTGGGGCTGGATGAATTCGTCCTAGGCCTGGCCTTGACTGGGGGCCAGGCAGGCAGGAGGCGGGCACCCAGCAGGGCCTCTCCCACAGGGGAAGGGAGAGAGGCCCTACCTGGTTCCCACTGGGACCACCAGAGTGAGGCACGTACCTGGTCACTAGGGAGGTGGAGGCTGGGAGTGGTGGTAAAGATGGAGGAGGCGGGGGTTATGAGAGAGAGAGGGAGGGAGGGAGAGAGAGGACACCAGGGCTGGCCCAGAGCGGGCAGGGCAGCAGGACAGGGTCCAGTTGTTCAGGAGGCAGAAGAGGGCTCTGGGGTCAGGCTGCCAGGGTTTGAATCCTGTCCACACTCTTTCCTCACTGTGACTTGGGCAAATCACGTTACCTCGCTGAGCCTCGGTTCCCTTGTTTGTACGATGGGGATACTACCAGGACCTAGTTTGAGGTGCGCTACCGGTGCCTGGGAGGGGAAGGGCCAGGCAGACAGGGCGGCAGAGGCTGAGACAGCAGGAGGGAGGGCGGCCCGCAGGTCAGGGGAGGAAGGCGGGCCGCTGTCTTCCTCAGGGAGCACGGTCTGCTCCGGTGCAGCCCTGCCTGGGGGCTGAGGGCCTGAGACCAGCCCACTTCCTGCCCTGAGCCTCTCTCCTTTATGAGATGGGGGAAATAAAGCCCCCCAGGGTGCTGTGAGGATCTGGGGCAAGTTGAATGGGATGGCAACCAGGGAAAGGCCTGGGAGGGACTGCCTTTTCATTCCTGGGGTGCAGGGCTGGGATTGGTTGGAGGGCAGACGAGAGGCAGCCCTTGGACCAGCTGGAGGCCTGCGGTCTGTGAACCAGGCCGTTGTCCCGCCCAGCCTGTTACCCACCTGAGCCAGCTTTCAGAGGGAGGGAAAAACAGGCCCACACTCCTATTTAAAAGGAAGAAACGCGGGTGGTAGCAGGAGCGAAGCCAGTGCTCTTGCCAGGCTCCCCCTGTGCAGGACGCGCGGGCCTGGGGGGAGAGGTGCCTGTGTCTGCTAGGTCCCAGGTGTGCCAGGGGGCTTGGGCCCTGGGCGAGGCCAGGAACGGGGCCTTTGTGTGCTGGGGACTAACTGCTGAAGGCTCCGCAGAGGGGAAACTTGGTCCTTTCTCTGTCCAGCCCTGATCTCCACACCCCCGGGGCTTGGGTCATGTCTGGGTCCTTCCACCCGGGGGAGGCAGCCTCCTCTTGACACCCTCATCCTCAAGGAAGCACTACCCCGCACCCGAGTGGCCTGGGCCATCTCTAAGCAGGAGTGGGCCCAGCGGGCCTCTCTCCGCCCCTCCCTCCCCGATGCCCACACAGCGAGGCTTCTCCACCTCCGACCTTGCTCTGTCCCACGTCTCCCCGTGCTCCAAGGGTGGCGGTGCCCAGTGGGTCAGCCTCCAGCTCCAGAGGCCCCTTGGCCTTGTTCAGGCCCCAGTGCTCCACTCGCCTGGCCGTGTGACCCAAGGTGGGTTGCCAAAGCTCTCTGAGCCTCAGTTTCCTCACCCGTACTAGAAACACTGGGGGGACTCAGCCAGTTGGGCACGTAAATTGCTCAGCACAGTGCCGGGCACACAGTGAGCACTCGAGATGTGGGTGGCTGGATCTTCTGGGGCCACCTCTTGACCCTGAGCACAGTGAGACCTAAGGCAACCAGAAATAATTTGTGGATTAACTGACACTTTTGCACGGCCGCTTTAGGGGCAGTACTTGGTGTGGCTTCACCTTCCCTGTGCCTGGATGCGTGCACACCCCCGCACAGGAGCCCGAGAGCAGGTGGTGGGAGGCATCTCTCTGTGCGGCCCGTGCTCTCCCCTTCACACACACAACCTGTCTTCCTGGAGCATATTTTTGTGTGGCACGGGGGAGACGGTGATGTGCGGCCTCTGCCCTTCCAGAACTTGCAGTCTAGCAGGGAGCCCTGCCTGGAAACCAGCTGTGGATGCAAGGTGATCAAACCCGTGGTGACAGAGGTACAGGATCATAAAGGGGCACCTAACCTAGGGGGCTCAGGAAAAGTGATGTCCAGGCTTGGAGGATGCTTAAGAGTCAGCCTTGAGTGGAGTGCCCCAGGCAGAGGGAACAGCATATGCAAAGACCAGGAGGCACTGTGTTTGGACATAACTGAAGGCAGGAGTGTTGACGTCAGAGGGGTAAGTGGGGGTAGGTTAGAGTCAGCGACCACAGGGCCTTGGAAGCCAGTGAGGAGTCTGGATTTTCTTTTGAGGGCTGTGGGGAGCCACTGAAGGGTATTAAGAGGTTCAGCTGGGGCCAACCCCCCACCCCCCACCCCCCACCCCACCCCACCTCGTGGGACCTTCCCTCTGCCCAGAAACCCTGGGTCTTGCCCATTTCTCATTGGCTACCTCAATATCTGCTGTCCCAGTAGAGGGGGAGCTAGGACACCATTACCCTGGGAATCCCTCCCCTACCTCCTGCCCCTGTTCTGAGTCTTCAGCCAGCTTCCAGAAACAAGCCAGGGAGCAGCTTCCCAGACTCTGGCTGGAACTGTCATGGTCAATTTTTTTTACCAATCAGATCACATGTTAAATGCATTAGGGGAAGTGACTATTCACAGTCCCAGAAGCCTGAAGACCCTCTGGGTAAAGGCAAAAGCTACTCCATCCCCGGATTGTAATGGGAGTGTTAATGTTGGCTGGGCCAACAGTGACTGGCTGGGTTTCTGGAGCATGGACAGGGTGCCTGCCCTGAGGGATGCAGAAGAGGGTACAGGGGGCTGCCCTGAGGAGTCCTTGGGGTGTGGGGGGAGAGAGGAGCATCCAGAGGAGACCTCCCCAAGGGGTAATGCTGGCAGGGGAAGTGGAGCTCAGGGCTGGGGAGGGCCTTCCATCTGCGTGGGGTAGAGGTGTGGACGCTCAGATGGAGCGTCTTGGAGCAGTGGCTGGAAGGGTATGCCAGGCAGGAGGAGAGGCAGCAGGAAGGGCATGGAGGTAGGAAAGCTGGGGGTTGGAGAGACCCGGGACTCTGGGGACAGCAGGGCCCCCTTCCTCCCTCCTCCTGTCTGATTCTGCCCTTCATTCAACTCTTGGACAGCCATCTCCCACTTCTGTCTCGGACGTGGGCCTGTAGACCCCTGGGGTTGTAGTGGAACTTAAGAGGCTCCTGGACAACCTGGGCTCTGCCTGGGGTAGGCAAGGAGCCCGGGACCTGTTAGCTACGTGTTCATTGCCAAGGCCTGCCCAGCTGGGCAGAAGCTGAGGCTGGGCGCAGGGTCATGAGCATGATGGCTGGCTGGCTGGTGCCTTAGCAAGGGCTAATGTCCAGTGCCATGGTTCTGGGCTCTTCCCTGGGCTGCTATCTTAGACACGGAGGCTGTCTGCCCCGGGGGTGTGGGGTAAGAGGGTACAGAAACCTCCTCCCTGCCAGGGCCCACTATTGGAGAGGCCAGGCCACCAAAATGCAGGTGGTAGAGGACGCTAGGGAAAGAGCCCGAGCTTTAGAGTCAGCCAGGCTTGTGTCTGAATCCACACTGTGCCAGTTCCCAGCTGTGAGGCCTTTAGCAAGTCCCTGAACCGCTCTCAGCCCCTTTCCTCATCTCGAAAGTGGGAATTGCCGTGTGAGGGCAAGCACTGGGCCCTGTTGCTGTGTGTTAGTAGGGACTTCCTCACCCTGTCAGTTGGTCCTGCGGGAACCCAGGTCCCGTTCGTGCCCACTTTGCTGGGAAGAAGGCTCTCAGGCCTGAGGGCTGCAGGCTCCAATCTCCTAGTGTAGAGTGTGGCTGATTGAAAGGGGAAAGCCAAGAGGGTGGTTGGGAGGCCAGTCCTGCCTCCTGAGTGGTGAACCTCTTGATGGAGTCCAGGCTTCCTCCCTCTCCCCAGGTTAGGTGCCCAGGAAATAATGTTCTGGACCATTCTGTAGGATGGAGAGGGGGTTGGAGGACCATTTAAGGAAGGGGTGTAGGAACAATGGTGGGCCGTGGGGGAACAAGGGTGTAGATAAGACCCCCCCCAACCACAAAGGGGGGCCGTGGAGGGGAGGGGGGCTGGCAGCAGCTGCCCTCCACTGCAGGGATTCAGGCTGCCATCTCCATAGCAACAGGTATCCACAGCCAAGGGCTAGGTCTCTTAAAGGCACAGTGCAGGAGGTGCTGCATTGCCGCCCCAGGGAGCCGGGGGGGGGGGGGGGGGGGGGGGGGGGGGGCGGGGAGGTTAGGATGGTGTGTCTATGCCTCCACACGGCTCGCTCACTCTGGCTATGGCTATAAGGTACAAGCAGGAGAGCAGGGCATCTGATGGGGATGAACTCCTAGCCTCTGTATGTTCCCCAGGAACAAATGGCTTTGGTGAGAAGGTAGCCAGGTGCTTACCTGGTGTTTGGTTTGGGTCTGCCCTCGATGCTCTGGACTAGGCTGGGCCCCCTACTTCGTCTCTGGAGGATCAGGCTGGAAGGCAAAAGCCTCAGAGTATTAGGGGCCACGTAAGGCTTTTCTGTTTACTTCACAGAGGAGGAAAACCACGTTCCTCCAAAAGGGGCCAGAGCGCTAAGGTCAGGGCCAAGTTGAAGCTGAGGTCGCAGCTTGCTTAGAATGCTGGGTGTCGGCCAAGACCAGACAGTGAGCCTTCCTGAATCTCATTCACCTACCCACCCCCGCCCTTCGTGGTTCATGCTATGGCCATGCATGACCCATGCTAATTAGTGTTTTTAAGTAATTTCATAAACTTTGTAGCCCATCTAAGTGAAAAGTTAACACTTGCCATCGGTAGAGAGTAACCGTAAAAATAAACACAACAAAGCAGACCTGACAGTGAAGTCTAGCTAGAAACTATGTGCCCCCCAAGGGCTGCACTGCCTGCCTCTCTGTTAGTAAGGAAGGTTAGCAAATAGTAGGCGTTAAAGGCATGGTAGAAGCAAATTGAGCCTCCCCACTGGGTACCACCAGTTTGTGGAATTTAAAGACCTGCGCAGAATACCATGGCTTGATGCTGTGTCTGCTGTGTGACCCTGAGTCCACTTACTAGCAGCAGAGCCCCACGGTCCCAGAAGCACCCACCTGCATGACCGGCACGCTGTGTCAGAGGCCAGCTGTGCTGATGGGGCGTGAGCGGGTTGCAGGGATTTCCATGCCGGTGGAGCAGAGCGAGGGAGACTGGTCCCCGAGTCCAACGCCAGGCTGGGTCTCCCTCCCCAGCTGTGGGTCTGACCGCCAAGAATGCAGCTATGGAGGGCTGCCTTCCTCCCAGGGGTCAGGAGGTTTGGGGGGGTGGGGCAGCCTGGGGAGGGGGCAGAGGCCTCAGCACACTTGGCCATCTCCTTCCTGCAGCAGTACTTTATCCTCCTCATCATCACGGACGGCGTCATCAGTGATATGGAGGAGACACGTCACGCCGTGGTGCAGGCTTCCAAGCTGCCCATGTCCATCATCATCGTGGGCGTGGGCAACGCCGACTTCGCTGCCATGGAGTTCCTGGATGGGGACAGCCGCACCCTGCGCTCCCACACGGGGGAGGAGGCCGCCCGCGATATCGTGCAGTTCGTGCCCTTCCGAGAGTTTCGCAACGTGAGTGTGGGCCCAGGCTGGGCAGGGGCCACACAGGGGACCCCAGCAGCCACAGTTAATATGGACGAAAGGCTGGGGATTGTCTGCCTAACCTGAGGCTCCTCCTCCCTCCACTTGACTGCACACTGCCCGAGGGCCTGCCCCAAGAGGAGGCCCTGCCACCCCATGAGCAAGCTCATGGGACACTCAGGGTATTGCCCAGTCCAGACTGGGGCTCCAGGGCAGGGTTTCGTGAAGGCCTGAACCAGAAGTTGGGAGTTATCCTTGTAGGTCAAAGCCAGGCAGCCGGGGGTGGGGGTGGTGCTGGGAGAGCAAAGGCCCAGAGGTGAGAGAGACTTTCCTGGTAGCCATACCTCAGCCAGCATCCTTCACAGACAGAAAACGAGGCCCATCTTAGGATGGCCTTCGCAGGGGGCAGGCAGCCCTGCCCTGTTCCTGGAGGTGGCTCTGAGCCTACTTGCAGGTGACCCCAGGTCTGCCCACAAGGTTGCTGCCCTGGCAGCTGGGCCCACCAGGATCCCAGAGAGAGCAGAGCCTCTCAGATGCCAACTCTTATTTGACCAGAAGCTCACTATGTGGCCTTGGGCAAGTCTCTGACATCTCTGGGCCTAGATTCCCTTGGCCATAGGGCCTCTTGGGGTTCTAGGGCTCCGATCCTATAAACGAGTCCCAGCATGAACTGATGACATATTTTTATACCCAGTGGTACTCCCAGCTCTGCCTAGTGCCAGCTCTGGGTTTGCCTGAGATGGGCCAGCTCCTTCCTCTGGAGCATTAGTTCCTGAGGCTGGATGCTGGGCCTGGGCCCCACATTCATGCAAAGGACACTGACTGAACCCCTCCCAGGCCTGGCCTGCGGCAGGGCGTCCAGCAGTGAGCCAGCCAGTCCCAGCCCATTTATGCTGGCCCAGGAGGGGTTCAGGAAGTATCTGCCAGGTGAGGAGGCTACACAGCTACACCGTCTCTTTCCCCAAAAGCCTCCCACACACAAACTCATCCTAAAATGTTTACATCCCAGTCTGACGGTAAGTCAGACTTCACATAAAAGAGAGCACTGCCAGCAGTGGGATATCAGACCTGGGTTGGGACAAGGGATGTGGGTTATAGACCGCTCTTGTCCTCCAAGGCCACCCCCTTTAGCAACTGTGTGGGCCTGGTGCCCCAAGTGACTTTCCTCCAATAACCCTCTCTCTCGTTCCCACCTCAATCCCCCCAACAGGCGGCAAAAGAGACGCTGGCCAAAGCTGTGCTGGCAGAACTGCCCCAGCAAGTTGTGCAGTATTTCAAGCATAAAAACCTGCCCCCCACCAACTCGGAGCCCGCCTGAGTGCCAGCCCGCGCCCAGCAGCAGCATGCCGGCTGGGCACCCCCCTCCCCCCCCCAGGAACGTGCACGCGCACCCTGCTTCCTCGTGGGTGGCTCTTTTAACTGATCCACATTTTTTTTACAACTGGACCTCCACCCCCAACTTCCCCCAGCCCAGCTGGGCTTCCTTTGTTGGAGTCGACGGATGATGCTTCCGGGCCAAACTGGCTTCCTCCCTACCCTTAAGTATTGAATGTACTTTGTATAATTTTAGTGGAATTACGGTTATTAAAGAGAAAATTTTTACAATCATAACGCTTTTTCCAAGTAACTAGCTGCAGACTCTGAAAGGAATGTGTCCCCAGTGCATACTTTGTGTCATTGCCTGCACCTAATTCTTGCTCTGTTTTTTTATACTGTGACTGTGTTCTATTTGTAATACTCAGGGTAATAAAGGAGTTTCAGATGTCCCTGTGTCCTCTCCTTCCTCAGCCGGGACCTGATGGGCTCACTGATCTATGAAAGGAAACATGAAAAAACCTCTTCCCCCAACAAGCCGGGCAAGATGGTGCGGTCATTTCTACTGGGGCCCAGGTGGGGGGAGCACACACGCCACATGAACAGTAATCCCTCTGTTAAAGTGGCACAGAACTTGGCAGAGTAGATACCTGCAGATGGAGAAAACGCCCAGCCCCACCAGCAGCTGAAGCCCCTACAGAGCCTACACCAGTCTCTGGGTACTCAGGCCCAGCCACTTCCCCTGACACCCCCCTTCCCCTCCACCCCCCCAGTCTACACTCTGTCCTGAGTTGCACCAACGTGCCCACACCCACAGGAAAGCAGTCACTGACATCCATTAGCATCTCTTTCAAGGCTCCAGGCATCGGGGGAGCTGCAGTCTGCCTAGTGTGAAAGCCTCTGCCCTGAGGATGCTAAACAGGGCTGCTTGTGTCCCTGCTGACAGCAGCCACTGGTTTCTAGGGCATGCCACACCCTGTTGCAGGCCCAAGTTCATGAAGCCAGCCAGGGGTGCTCCCAGTTCTCCCCTCTCTTCCACATAACACATCTTTCTCTCCGGTCTACCTCCAGCCTCGCAGTTTCCGTCAGCCCCTGCCACAGCCTCCTGTGTAACCAGTAACCACTGACATTTCTACTAAGCACTGCTTCTGGCTCCACGTTAAGAGCTTCATAGGCATCATCTTGATGAACCTTCCAATAGCCCCTGCCTAGGGCCATTTCAGAGATGAGGAAAAGAGCAGAGAAGCTAATCAAATCCATTAAAGGCAGAGCCAGAACTTCCATCTCGATCTGGCCGATTCCAGAGCCTCTACTTACTCCACTGCACCTTCCCTGGCCTCTGCGAGGGAGTGTGCTCCAGTTGCTAATGAATCTGTCCCTACTCCACTGAAACTGGGAGGCCTCTTACCCCGACCTACTCTCCCAGGTCATCCCCCTGGGCCCCGCTAGACCTGAGCGTGCACCAGCCAGGTTCCTGCCTCTGGGTGCCTGGTGGGCTCAGGAACCAGTGTCCATCCGGTGAGGGCGAGTTAAGGAGAGCTTCATGCTAAGCTTCCAATGCCCTTACTGGGTCCGTGGCCACCAAAAGGCAGCTAAAATATCCTTTAGGGACTTCTGAGAGGGCTGCAGGACCGCAGGAAGCCCTGCTCACCAAAGGACCTTTGGGAAATCACAGCGCAACAGCCCAGGGACCAACTGTCAACACAGATGGAATCCCAGGGCTAGTGCATCTGACTCCTTTGGTTCATGCCTAACCCTTGCTTAGGCCAGCTGTGAGACTGCACGCTAAACAGCATGGGTCTGCTGGGTTGCCCGTCTGTTCGGTAGCTAAAGTCAGTCTAGCTGGATGTCCCATCCAGGGAAGTTTGTACCCACTTGGCCTTGGAAGAATCTGTCACGTTCTACAGTCAAATGCTCTACCCGAGTTCTACCCCCTGTCAAGTTATGATTGACCAGAGGTCTCTAAAGGGGAGCAGCCTTCTCTTCTCAGCCCCACATCCCCACCTTGGCCCTTAGAGGATGTGTATGTGGGGGGGGGGGAGGGGAGGGATTTCTCATGCAGACCCTTACCTTCTACCTCCACATGGGAAGAATTTACCAGATTGGTTAGAGTCCACGCCTTATGTTGGAGTCCATCCCAAAGGTCAAACTCTTAGGGACCATCTACCTCAGGTATGGTGGCCACAGCCTTCACTCACCTCCAGGCTTTCCATGGGAGCCGACCCGACATCTCTTTCTTCCCCCCTTCTCTGCCCAGGTTGCATAAATCAGTCAAGCAAGCCCTCTACTCCCAGCTGGCTCAAGTTCACAGGGGAAACGAATGCACCTGAACTCCTGACCAGGCCAAATCACCACTTAAAAAAAAAAAAAAAAAAAAACAAAAATAAAGAAATCCTGCAGATAAAATGTAAGGTATGGTGGCTATAGTTGATAATACTGTATTATATCTGAAACTTGCCAAAAGCCTAGATCTTAAAGGCTCTCATCACAAGGGAAAAAAAATGGACAGACCATTTTGCAATATGTACAAATACTGAATAAATTGCACACCCGAAACTAACGTCAATTATATCTCGAAAACAAACTGAGCTTTAGTGATCCTGATATTTGGTTCTTGGTACATGGACAGCAAGCTAAAAAGTGAACTTCGAAATCTAAAAGATCCCTCCACCCTTGAATCACCGCTGCTGAGGCCTGGGTACTGGCATTTAAGATTTTCACAGAAACCATACAAAGCCAGACTTGAGAGTTAAAGGCTCAAATTCAAATTCTGGTTCTGTCACCTAACTGTGCAACCACTGGCAAGTCATCGAACCACTATGAAGTTCAAGTGTCTCTATCAAATGTAGAGGAGGGCTGCTTCACTGGACTTTTAGGATGAAAGATACTACAGTCCACAAAAATCCCAAACAGTGCCAGGCACACACAGAGCAGCCACTCGGTATATAATGAATGAAGGAAACAAATCCATTCCAGGCGTAATGATGTGCCTGTTACTAAAACAGTAAGGGTGGAGCCCAGCCAACAGCTCAGAGTAGTGGCTGTCTCTGGGGTTTGCTGCCCGTCTCTGTGAAAACGCTAACTCTGGGCCACGTTCTGCCCGTCGCTGCTGGGATACTCCCCTTCTCCTTAAACCATAGCTCCAGCAGGTAAGGGAGTAAACTGCCAGCTCTTGCCAGCGTCATTAAGGCACGAATGTGCAACTGGCTTCTTGTGTTCACCCTGTGACTGCAACGATGTTGCCAAGATTCTAGCCTCCTCCCAAGTAGAACTTACATTCCATACTGTTAGCATGGAAGTAGTATGGAAGTAGGCGGGGATGCGAGGAAATCAAGACAACACTCAAGTCCAAGTGATGGTACGATGCCACTGGGCACTGCTTTTTGTTTTTCTGGAAGGGGCTTAAGACAACAGCTGAGCCATATACCCACGAATAGGATGCCTGAGCCAAGGAACAGGGTGTGCCTAAGCAATTAACATTTAGCTGAGAGGGAAGCTTACAGAAGCTGTTGGTTGGAGCTTTGACGACCAGATCTGACCCTTCATCATGTCAGCGTTCTAGCTGCAACCAAGTACTGCCAGTAGGATGGGGAAACCTGCCATAAATCACCACTAACGGAAGCTCCGGACACCCATCGCAGAAACGGGAGGCCACCAGTAACAGGGCTATTGAGGATGGCTACCAGTGTACTGCGCACTGTGTGCCAGATCCCATACTAAGTACCTAATCCAGATGGTCTTCCACCATCACTAGAAAGTTGGTCTCATTATTCCTATTTTCCAAGGAGGAAATGGAGGCCCAGAGACGTTATGGACCTTGTCCAAGAGACTCAGATAGGAAATGTCCGGCTCCAAGCACAAAACCACTACGATACATCCAGGGAAGAGGGAACGAGGCTTGGTCCCCAGCGAGAAGCAGAAGTAGTGGGGGAAGTCTGAGGCAAAAAGCAGCTTGTCCTGGGCAGAAAGGAAGTAGCCAGAAAGGACGAACCCAAGGTGGAAAGTAGAAAGAACGAGGGCACAAAAAGCTGGCCCAGGTCACCCCTAGCTAGGGGCCCAACTTCCACGTTCTGGTCTAAGATATGCCTGCAGAAAGCTAGAGATTCCCATGCCCACCCCACTCTAAATTTGAGAAGCCAGCTTTTTTTCTCCTCTGGGGTTTTGAGACCAGGGAAGGCATATGTAAGCAGATCGCCAGCCACCTCTTGGGTCCAGTCACATCAGCTCCCCAGCTTTTTTACAGGTGGGAAAAGTAAGGTTTTGAATTCCATGCTTTCTCCCCACTCAAGTGAATGAACAGGGCAGAAGTCAGAAGTGGTTGAGAGGGCTTGGTGTGACACAGGCCGGGTCATCCAGACAGAACTAGCAATAGAGACCCTCATAGACAGGCTCTGTCCCTTGCAGGATTCCAGAGTTGTGAGACTACTACTACCACTCAGGGCAATGTAAGCAGGTTTAAAGAACCCCCCCCTTCACCCTCCCAACACACACACTTTGTCTTTATCCCTTATCACCTAGTTATAAAACCCCAATTCTTTATTAAGGCCTGAGTGCTGCACTTTATAGATTAAAGCAGCTCCTATTTTTTCCATCCTTCTTTGGGTTTGAACCTCATGGTCTACGCTGGATGCTTTCTAAGGCTGCTTCCTCTACTGGGAGACCAGATCCCACTCTGCCAGTCATGGTTTCTATCTATACCAACAGGTACAATGACAGTGAGATGCCACCATTGCCTCTCAGTCTTTCCTGGGACATCAAGAGCAGAAACCTCCAGCCGAGAAGCCTCAACCCTCTTAACACACTCTAGATGTGCTGGTGGATGGGGAGGGAGCTGGGACTACAGATTCGGTACAGGAAAAGCAAGGTCTTATTCTCTGACATGTGTCAGCTTTCAAGTTCATGTATAGTTTGAATCCCTATAACCTTCTGTCAACTTCCAACAACAGAGGCCATGAGGTATAGTAACGGCTTCTTAAAAGTCAAACCACATAAAGACGGGGACTCTGAATCCGCTGTCTGCCTCCTGAAATGAGGGGCGGGTGCTCTGGGTATGCGCTGTAGCAATGATGGCACGATCGCAGGAACAATGAAGCAGAGAAGCAGAAGGTGCCTACACAGTTTCACCTAAATGCCTTGTTTGTTAGGATGGAGCTGACGTGCCTGTACCGACAGGAACAATTAGCACAGAGCAGTTCTGAAGAGGAGGAAGAATTCATAAGGCATCACTTGTGGGTGAAGGGAAGTCACCATCTGCTAGCGGGCCCAGAGTGTCACGGCACTGGAAGGGGAGAAGGAGGGGGCTGGAAGAGCCCCCAGGGCCTCTCTGCCCACATTAAGACTGAGTAGCTTCTCTGCCTGCCAGCTCACAGTGTCAACACATTCTGTGTGTCTCTCTCTGTCTCACACCCGGAGAGGTAGAAACAATTGACGTAGGAACCCAAGGGAAGAGAGAACCGTACAGACTCACTCTCCTGAAGCGGGGGAGCTTGTCATTTTTTTTTTTTTTTAAAGCCCATGCCCCTCTGTCCAGAAGGCCTTCATACCTCATCTCCCTTAGTCCTGGAGGGCAAGTGCCTGCTTCCCTTTAGGAGACAGAAGTGGGACTGTACCTCTAGGTCCTGGCTGCTCACAGCCTTAAAGCTGCATGCAAAGGGAAAAGAGCAGAGGGGAGGAAAGGACGGGGCAGCACCATCAGGCCAGAAATAGCTTCCATAGTGAGAAGCCACAACTATAAATGTACCAAACAGAGAGGGGCCTCGACCATACAGTCGAGTCAGCATATGCAGGTGTGTCCCACTGGTTTGCACTCAGGATCCCACAAGCTGCATCTACACACCTACCAGCACTTCCCGCTTCCTGGCCACGATGAAAAGAAGGCCTGTTTGGTTCTCCAAGCCTGAGAGTCTTAAATGGCATTGGATGGAGGGAGGAAGGAGAAGGAAAAGGAAGGAAGAATAAGGAGAAACTTCACAATGAGTGATGAGTGTTAAGTGACGCCCCCTGCAGATGCAGTTTAGAATCTTTTACTTAGTCACACAACATTGAGAATTGGTTAGTTCCAAGGGAGTGCACCATCCCATCCCGTCACATGGCTCACTTCTCCCCCAGCCCCCCGCCCCCAACGTGTTCCACAATGCAGTACAACCAAATGGGGTGTTCATCTAGAACAGAGTGTTTAAATAATACCTGTCCAATAACTGCCCTTGCTTCTTTATGCTGTTGGGAAAGGAAAAAAAGAAAAAAAAGAAAGCAACATGATCCAAACACTTTGCACACCGGGGGGGGGGGAGCCGATCTTCCCAAGGCATTTTCAGTGGAATTTCTGCTGAGCCCTGCCCCTCCAACCCCACCCTCCCCATTAGCAAGGAAAGACGCAGCAGGACAGGTCTGGACATCTGCAGGGAGTGGAAAGAAACCAAACACAAGTCGGGCCACAAGTGGATTCTGGCACATTTTTAGACGAGGTTAAAAATGTCACGGTGTGCACAGGAAGCAGGCAAAGGAGTTCTGAGGGAGGTGATGCCCGGAGGCAGAACAAACCGTCGGGCAGGGGCTCTGGGAGGGACACAGGGGCCTAGGGGGCCTCGAGGAAGGTGTTGGTTCGGAAGATGGAGGAGACGATCTTGCCGGTGGCGTTGATGGTGCCCTCGCTGTCAGAGCTGGATTCGGAGTCGCTGCTGCCGGAGTAGGCACCCAAGCCTGGTAGGATGCCGATACAGACGGCGGCAGACGGGCAGTGGATGGAAGGGGTGCTCAGGGACGTGCTTCCAAGAGGCACGCAGGACGGGGCTTCTGCAAAACAGGAGGAAGCACTGTGACTTCACCACTTTCCCCAAAGTTGATAGGGTACTTTCCACATGCCGGGCATGGGGCCTCGAGCTCTACCCTGAAGCCCCAAGCCACCCTATGCAGCCAGCACTACTGTCCCTGGCATCGGACAGCAGTGTTCCTCTTTTACAAGTGAGAAAACTGAAGCCGCACTCAGAGAACATTTTAAGGCCACGGAGAATGTGACCATGTAGCTAAGGCTCTTTTCACTCCGGGAAACCCAGAGTCGCTGCAGCCCCCCAGTGATGGAAAGCCTCAATCCAGGAAACCTGGCACTTAGAAGCGAAAGGAAAAGTTAAAGACTCTCCTCCACCACTCCCATTGCCTCTGTTTCCAGACTCAGTGAATCACTACAACAATGTGCTATGTAGATATCTCCCATCTTACTGAGGAGGGAGGTCAAAAGAATAGGCCAAGGTTAATGGCCACTTAGAGTAGAAAACATTAAATCTGAATCAAAAAATAATGTACTAGAACGATACCAGAGCTCACTGTAGAATAAGGGCTGGACTTTAAACCTCAGTGTCTCAGGGTGACAAGTATATAACTAACACTTCATGGAAACATGCAAAGGATACATGGTTCCAAGTACATGAAGTCAGGAGTAAGTCGAAACTACTGCTGAGAAGCAAAAGGAGGCCTTCAGCAGCCAGTGCACAGAGTTAAGGGGCTGAATGTACTTGCTAGTCTTACAGGAAGTTCTAATAAGGGAAAAAGCAGCTGCTGAAGAAAGGCAGTGTTGAAATACAGAGCTGTAAGAACATGAAATGAGACCCGACGCTGATTGTAAAGATGGTGATTACAAGACCACCTGAAAGCAGAGGCAGATATTTGCAACAAATATTACAAAAGTCAATTTCTTTGTGAGATCCAGTTCTTCCAACACCAACCAACCAACAACTGAAAAGTGGACACAAGGCACGAATAGTTGACCAAAAAAAGCATAAATGGCATTTAAACTTGGGAGAGTAAACCATCTGTAAGGAGGGAAGGTATAGGGCACAGGTATCTTTATATGCTGCTGAGCAGGTGTGGGGCAGTTTGGCAATGTTCTGCAAACTTAAATGATGTTCATATTGGAACATTCCCTGCAGCAGTGTTTTTTTTTTTTTTTAAATATTTTTTATTTATTTTTAGGAGAGAGAGAGAGACAGCATGAGCAGTGGAGGGTCAGAGAGAGAGGGAGACACAGACTCTCGAAATAGGCTCCAGGCTCTGAGCTGGCAGTCAGCACAGAGCCCGATGTGGGGCTCGAACCCACGAACCGTGAGATCATGACCTAAGCGAAAGTTGGACACTTAACCGACTAAGCCACCCAGGCGCCCCTTCAGCAGTGTTGATAGTAGCAACTGAAAGGTTCATTAATAAGGGTCCAGTGTAATGGACTATTATTCAGCCATGAAGATGAGTAAAGCCTGTATGTACTGGTATGGAATGATTTCCAAAACACTATGCTACGTGAAAGAGGCAAGAGGATGTGTAAGCTATAATCTGTGGGGGGGAGAGGGGGGGACATGCCCATGCACATGCAGGACGATATCTGAAATGAGACATAAAAAAGTGGTAACAGTGGTTGTCCTGGGGAGCTCAGCAGAGTGGTCGGGGAACAAGAAGACTTAACTTCTTTTAATCCACACTCTTTTGCTTCTTTTGATTTTTTTATTATGTGCATATACTACCAGTGCAGACGATTTTTTAGAAAGCAAATGCAAAAGAGCCTCAGAGTCTACTTAAATTGAGAAAGAACAGTCCCACGTGTCTCTGTAACCCCAAAGGCACCCCACTCCTACAGCCAGGAGGGCTGCAGAAGAAGAGACAGTCTAACAACGAGGCAGATTGCTTGTCCATATTCTCTAACTGCAAGCCACTTGAGGGCAAGGACTCCTTCTTCATCACTCCATCCCCTAGGCATACAGCATGGGGCCTAGCACAGAGAAGGCCAGCATTCGCAATGTGTTATAGACATTTTACAGAATTTCATTGTAAATAGCTAAATTGGGGAGGGAGGGCTGAACATTTGGGACACAACATCAAATTGTACACCATCCATTGCTTGAACATTTCCTGTATTGTTATTTTCACATATACAGTGATACTTTCAGTATTCTGTTAGAAATATTTGGTTAAGGGATGCCTGGGTGGCTTAGTTGGTTAAGTGTCTAACTTTGGCTCAGGTCATGATTTCACGGTTCTGGAGTTCGAGCCCCATTGGGCTCTCTGATATTAGCGCAGAGCCTGCTTTGGATCCTGTCTCTGCCCTTCCCCTGCCCACAATCTGTCCTTCTCTCTCAAAATAAATTTAAAAATTTTTTTAAAGAAATACTTGGTTAAGAAAAAAAAAAAAAACCTGATATAAGGGTATGAGTCACCCACTCAGAAAAGTAATTTATATGAAGCTGTTCAATGAGATGTCATTTTATTAAGTATGTCAAGGGTGAGTTGAATTTTAGGGTCTATCTTAGATAGAAAAGGAGGATCAAGTTCAGAGTACCTGTGCAAGACTAGAGCTGTCCTAAGGGAAGGATGGAAGTCAGCCACGAAATGAAACCAAGAAATGTGGACCGCAGTGGCATCAGCAGAGTTTAAGTGAAAAGACCAAATCTCCTGATTATCTAGGTTTCAAGAAAGAAAAGAGACTGCAACTCTGACAAATTTCATTCCAAAAATAGTTCAACTGTCCAAAGAGAACAAAATGGTGCCCTCTGACCTCACCCATTTGGTGAAGTTTCCTGCCAACTTCTGCATTTGCAGGACTACGTTGTTACACCAAATTAACACCGAAAATTACTAACAGGGAATGTTCTTGGGTTTCAAAGAGATGCGTGACTTGAGAGTCGATGGGGCCAACTTGTGCATTCACTGGCTCTGCTCAGAGCTTATACCCAGAGCCTCCGGCGGGGGAGGCTGAATCTCCTTTAGGGCCACAGAGTTCTCTTCTGTGGGGAACAAAGGCGCAAAGCTTTCTACTGCCAAGGTCAAGACTCTCAAGCAAGTTTTTACGGGATATTCTTCCGGTGGGGCCTTAACTTCTAGCAAAAGAGATTTATTGCCCAGCTATAAGGAAGCTGCTATAAGAGTGGAAGGGAGGACAGAGATTAAAGCTGAGGCTCTGAAACATGGTGTCTGCCTTGGACGTTTTTTTTTGTTTAAACAAGTATTATTATTATTATTTATTTTGAGAGGGACAGAGTGCAAGCAGGGGAGGGGCAGAGAGAGAGCAAGAATCTCAAGCAGGCTCTGCACTATCACTGCAGAGCCTGATGCAGGGCTTGAACTCATGAACTGTGAGATCATAACCTGAGTCGAAATCAAGTGTCAGATGCTCAACTAAGCCACTCAGGCGCTCCCTAATATGGTTTAAAAAGGCCACACAAGCGGGGCACCTGGTGGCTCAGTCAGTTAAGCATCCCACTTCAGCTCAGGTCATGATCTCATGGTTCATGGGTTCAAGCCCCACATCGGGCTCTGTGCTGACAGCTGGGAGCCTGCAGCCTGCTTCGGATTCTGTCTCCTTTCTCTCTACCCCTCCACCACTCACACTCTCTGTCTCAAAAATAAACATAAAAAAAAAATTAAAAAAAGAAAAGAGCCACACAAGTTTTCCTTTCCACTGACTGATGCAAATAGTTCCTATAAGGGAATAAGCACCAGGTACAGACAGGGCTAGCTAAAGTACATTTACGATTTCTTTATGAAGTTTTAGGTGTGTGTATGTATGAAGAGCCCAAAATTAAGTCCTCCATTAACAGCAACCTCGGGCTACACGTAGCTCCAGTTCCAGGAGAAGCTTCAGCCAAAGCCACCCTCAGGACCACCCTCGGATCAGCCAATCAAAAGAAATGTGCAACATTCCTGTGGTCTGAGTCAGGGCTGGGAACTGCAGGTACTCTGTTACAAACTAGCCAATCACTCACTGCTTGCCTAAACCCCATGTAGGCCCTTTGAGCTCACCTTATAATTGGTCATTTTCAACGGATTCTCAAAGGTCATGACTGGGTCCCGCCAAAAGTAACGGATGCCTCACGGATACTGAATGGTCAAAACTATAACCATGGGTGTTGTACAATTATAATTGGTGCTTATGTGATGATGCAAAACGTACGTGTGCACTGTAACACCCCCATCCCTTACCCCATAAAAACCCTGCTCGCCATTGTTCAGGGCTTCACTTTGCTGCCGCTGCACCGGTAGATGGGTAAGCCCCTGCTGGAGCTTTTTTTTTTTTTTTTTTTTAATGTTTTAT